CATTATTCAGCTGGGGGCTGACTACTTCCGGCCGGAAATCTAGAACACCCCCGGAAGTACTTGCTATTTTATTTTATTAGACCACTTGCATGAGATCTCGAATATCGCCGGTGAAATCGGCAGTTTCAGCACCCACCCACTACCTTAGCTGTCTTCGATTCATATTATGTAATAATCCATAAATTGTTATCCCGTTTCAAAGCCTTTTAGGTCTATTCAATCATTTCGGCTCAGAGCATATGGTGCTACAATAGAACATGTATTTCATCCTCCACCATAACTCCACCCAAACCCAATGAGATACTTATAGATAATAAGAATTTTAAAGTAAAAAAATAATTAAAAATTTAGTGTATTTTTTTAAGGCCTGTCCTTGTCAAAAAATCACCCTATATATTTATTTATTAAAACACTTGAGGCAACTGGTATTTAATTATTATTATATCTAACACTTTTTTCGCTGTAGGTCTTGAAACTATATTGTACAGGGTGTAATGTAGAATGCAGAATGTGTGGGAGGTTAGGGGGTTATAATCACCGCGACCTTACAGATCTTCGCCTTTATTTCTTAGCTTCAGTCTACTGAAGTATGATTGTTCTTACTGAAATCAAGAAAAATCTTTGATTTTTCTCGTTCATCTCAAGTTCTGAGAAATTTCTCCGAGGTTACGGATGGTATGGAGTCTTCCAGGTTCTTGAGTTCCGTTTTAAGTTGGTTTCGACTTGGAAAGCAGAACGGTTCTGGTCCAGTTAGTGCAGTGTTCGCACCTTTTCTAGCTAGATCGTTAGCTTTTTTATTGCCTTCTATCCCCTGGTGAGCTGGCATCCCCAGAGTAGGACTTTATTTTCTTTGCCTAATTTATTCAGCTTCTCTAGGCATTCTTTGACCAACTTTCCGAACTTCGAGTTGACGAAAGAATTGAATAAAGAGGTTTTTTATATAAAAATACATTTGACATTTTTACTAAATAACTGTTTACTTAAATAAAGGAAACCAAAATCACAATATACATCTCATTCTCAATTTTCAGCATAAAAAGATTTACCAGAGTATAATGACAAATGACATAGGAAAACAGTTTTTGAAATTGAAAATGAAATACTTTTTTAACATCTTAATATCCAGGGATTACTGATTTTTCTATTTTGCCCTTATTATTTAAGGACATTATAAAAGCGACAAAAAAATTGTAAATTAGCCATTTTGATATTGATAATATTATGATATTGATTTACTCTATAAAACTAAATAATCTGGCGGAAAAAAACAATTATCTGAATTTGTGTGCATAATTATTTCATAAGACTTTTTTGGACAAATGAACACCCTGTAAACTGGTTAAAAAATACTAGATATTAAAAAAAAACTCCAGTAAAAAATGCCTTTAAGGCAGAAAAAAATAAAATCAATGATGGTCGTTTAAATTGAACAGTTGCTCCAAAACAATATTTCTACCTTCGGGATCAGAGCAGATGTTACGTCAATCTACAGTATCTTTTTAAAGACCTTTGGCCACATTTTCAAAAGGCGCTTGTTTTACCCAGCACCTTTACTCTATACCTTCAAATTACAAGAGGTTGCACAAAATTCAGTTTGAAGACTAAAACATTTTTATTCCCTATCAGATTATTCCTATAAAACGAGGCACAGGGATTTAACGATATTTTTACATCCTCAAGCTAGTGTATAAAGTAACATATCCGTTTCAAAGACAGACTTAATCTAAGTAATGTAGCTTAAGTAGCATACTTGATCAGTTACGACTGGTCTTAAGGGATTTAAAATAAGAAGGGGTTAACCATAGAACACACGTGTACTATTTTTAAACATTTTAAAATAACTTTTCCACCTAGTAATTTGTGAAGGATTTAGAAAAACAGACATACAGGGTGGCGTAATAGTACGAGGAAGTACAATACCGTCGTAGAGCTGTCGAAGATACGAAAAAATGTTTTATACAGATGCATGGTTTATAGAGACACATCCTAAAAATATTTTATTTTATGCAGGATGTGCATAAAAAAGTTATGATAAAGTTTTTCTTGAAGTAGCATCCCTCATTTTTCTGTATAGATTTGGATTTAGCCTAAAATTTAGTACGCTATTTTTATTTCCCGCACTATGCGGTGTTGCCATTCTATTTCATATTTACCGAAACTTTGGTTAAAAACACTATATCCGAAAAGTGGCTAAAAACCACAGTGAATTTAACATTATTAATACTTATACTATCTTTTTCTAATCACCAAGGAGAACAGAATAAACCCTTGAAGGAAAATTTACATTATCTTGTACAGGGTAATTTTTATGGTGCCCCTAACAACGCAATATTTAAAATGCTATATCTCTCTTTTTTATATGTAACACCCTGTATGTTATTTTTCTTTTAGATGCAAAATTAAAAAGTGAACATTTTTTAATTCTGTATCTAAACGAAATATAATATAGAGGGTGTTGTATTTAATAAATAAAGATATAGCATTTTAAATATTTCGAGTTTGGTGACGCCATAAAAAATACCCTGTATAGGATAATGTAAATTTTCCATCATGGATCTGTTCTGTTATTCTTGGTGTTTAGGAAAATACAGCTAAGTATTAATGAAGTTATATTCACTCCAGTTTTTAACCACTTTTCAGATATAGTGTTTTTAACCTAAGTTTTACTAAATATAGCTTCAAATAAAAATAGTGTACTATATTTATGCAGAATTTTATGCTGAATCCATTAATTTATCTACAAAGTGAAGGGTGCAATTTAAAAAAGCTTAAAACTCTATCATAACCTTTTTTTGTGACACCCTGTATATAATAAAATATTTTTAGTATATGCCCCTTCATAAACTATGCAACATCTGTATAAAACTTTTTTTTATATCTTCGACAATAACAACGACGATATTGGACTTCCACGCACTAATGGGCCACCCTGTATATAGGGAGCCACTTTTGAAAAACATTTCATACATAGACGCACATACAGATTTTTTTAAACAAATATAAGTAATCGTGTTTCTAAAATTAATTAGTTGAGTTTAAAAAATGAATTGGAGCTACTACCCTAAAGTCAATATAATTTCATTAGCTAAAACTCATTTAATTTTCCTAGAGTAAATAAGCATTACTTTACACTTAGGGTTAACCGCAGCCCTTGTTTAATTTAATTTCGATTCTATTTATTTTTCCAACATTTGTATTCCTCGTATGTACTTCAAAATCAACATTTGGTAGACATTGAGGGCAAATATAGAGATATAATATTATAGCACACCCTGTATAGCACATTTGCTCGATATAACAAACAGTTTTTTGTTGTTTTTAACGATCGGAGATAGGAAAGGATGAGTCTTGATGACTAAAGTAGTTATATAATAACAAAATGTTTTTTACGCAAAAAATGTTAGTTGCTCTGTGTGGTTTGCGTTTTGAGTGTGTGTGCAGGATTTTAGGAGTTTTCTTTTGTTCTTTTTGATATTTTAAGGAAATTTTATCTAGTTCTGGTTAGTGTTAATATTAGTTTTAAATTTTTCCACACCAATATATTGTAGGTAAGTGAAAATTATGGTAACTTAAATTTGCACGAAAATTGTTTTTGGGGTATAAAAAACTAATGTTATTGGAGAAGGCTATTAAAGAGGTGATTGTGAAAATGATTTGTATTTAATATCCAACAAGCCCGTTTTTTATATCACAAATTACGCCATATAGAATAAAACCTTTCAGAAGGTCTTTTCTGTATTGTTGTAGATAAGAATACGTTATAAAACCGAAACTTAACGAGTAAATGAGTTTTAAATAGGTACTAATGATTACCTAAGCAATGCAAAGAAAATATTCCATAAAAAATTACGTAATTATCAGCTTCGTACACTTTTTTCATAAAAAAATGAAAATATTAATTTTCTGGATCGTTTGACAAGCACAGGCATTTGACAGGACATTTTTGACGGTACTCTGGACAATCTTTAAAATATTAAATAGTAAATTACCAATATTCTGTTTAATTATTTACTTTTCGATATTGGTTTTGTTTGTTGCATATTGTTTATTATTTGATATTTGTTTTTGTTAAATAGTCAGTTTTAATAATACAAAGAAAACGGCGGGCATTTGAAACTGAAAATACGATTTTTTGGCTGTATTAATTGTATAGTTTTTATAATTAATATTTTTTTGGTAAAATATTTTTTATGCAATTTTATTGGTTTATTTCAAAAATTACAGCTCATACTTATGAGTCAAGTGACGGAATCAATAAAATTGCATAAAATCAACGACGGACGACGCATTACGGATGCATGTAAACCCACACTTAGAATTTAGGGTCATAGATAATGGATGACTTGACAGTCTCGCGAAGAAGTGACGTAAGACCGAGAGTTGTTGACAGATGTGTTAATTGTGGCATTACGGGAAATTTTGGTAATTACATAATTAAGAAATTGAACGAATTGAGTGGTACTGTGCACGAAGAAACCCTGGTTATCTATAAATGCTAACGAAGAAAGAAGTCGCTGGCTGAGTTGTTAGTCATCATCGGTAAAGCTCTAAAGTTGTTGTTTTTTTCTGTTCTAAGACTTTACGTGAACGTAAACTAGGTAATTGAGATTCGCGCGGCAGAGGGGCAGGGTGAGGGTACCACCTCGGAAGCACCCGTCTACATACCCCTTAGAGAGCGTCCCCACCACTAGGACGCTACCACACGGTCCGCGCTCAATGCTTATTGCTTTTCGTTCACTCAGTCGGCACAAACTCGAAAGCACAGACGTTGAACGTGCCGCATCGCGCACCGAAAGCGTTCTTTCCATATAGCGAACGCGTAATCTTGTGTTTAGTGAACGTTACAGCGCTATGGTGTGCGAAACCACCCGGCTTTCCGACATAATTTGCTAACTCTTTTTTTCTGCATGTGCCTGTGCTTTACTGTGGATTATTAGATTTAAGTGCATGGTCTCTAGTGAACTTTTTAGTGAGCAAAGTGTTTTTTTTTCTTTCGCTAGCCTATGGCGCGGTGTTGCAGAGTACCTTTGAGGTAACACTACCTGGACGTTGTTGCTCCATCGTCCCCATATCCGGACATCGCGTTACTACATTTCTTCGACATGTCTTGGATACTTTTCTTCCTGGTTGGACTTTCTTTAATTCTTCAGGTAAGTCTAGATTTTTAGCTGGCTAAGTTTTTCTCAGAACCATCCGCAGTCACGTTTGAATGGCAGGAGACAGTGAAATATTATAAACATGGTCAGTGTCTCAACAACCTCAATGACGCCTTTATTTACTACAGCTTACGCGCTAACAAACTTTTCTAACCGTCATTTTCACCCTTGCGCATTCTCTAGCACATCACGCTTAACGTAGCCGTTCACACTTCAATGGAGCTTTTGTCAGCTGCCTCAGCTTTTTCATTATCAAAATGTAAATACAAACACGAATTTTCTAATTTTTCATTACACCTATTTGTACAGTCTGCTAAAATGCATACAATGAATTTATTTCGATTAAATCTGATTTAAGCAACCGCCAAAACAAATATTAATTGTTAACAAAATTAATTGTTATTTAAGAAAGTAGATCGTACAGTTTTACTAGGAATGTGGAAATTTAAATTAACGGTGCATTTTTAGAAAGCTTTAGAAGCTTATTAAAATATTTTATCATGCAACAGCTTATTGGTAATTCACGATGGTACCAATTACAAAAAAATAATTAAGAGTTATCGAAGAGAGACAAAGTATTTATTGAGAAATAGAATCATAACGCTGGCTTTTTCTAAATTTATGCCAAAATTAGTTAAAATAAATAAACCGTTAATTTTTAATTAGCACGAAAACTCATATTTATGTTTACAATCTTTCTTCCATATGCTATTGATATATGACCCACCAAAAGTCAATTATAGAACATTTGGTATTGACCAGTCATGGTCAAAAAATTAAATTAACTGGCAGATGATAATGTAGCTCCCTTCTTTCACTATCTTTATTGTCATGGACCTTTTTTGCAATGCTTGTTTTTCAAAAATTGTTAGATTTTAAGACAATTCCCATATTCTTTAACAACCTATTGAAAACGACAGAAGCGTCATCCAAACAGATAGAAAAACGTTAGAAACAAGAAAACAAACGATTTTTGAAAAACACTAATGCAAGGAGGGAAGAAGTAAATAATAACGGGTCTTGTTGAAATATCTATAAAACGATAATCGCGTACCGGTATAATAAGTATTTTAGCGTTTTTACGTCAGGTGAGTAAAATCATGAATTGAACATTTTGTCTAGGCCCCTGCCTCTGGGGTGTTCGAGTTGAAGCTGCTCTCCTTCGACAACGAAGCTGGAAAAGACGACCAGGGCAGATGCTGTTCTGGAAGACCGTCCGGCCAAGAATGCGATGGCGATTGCAGACCACGATTTCGCATCTGCCTCAAAGAATACCAAGTTAAAATCGATGCCAACTCCCCTTGCACATTTGGAGACGTCATTACATCCGAACTAGGTCCTGGATCAGCTGACGATCCCCAGAGTGGTTTTGTCAACCCCATAGCCTTTCGATTTCCATTCACATGGCCGGTAAATATCAATAATCAACTGTTTTTTTAAGTACTTTACTGCATTGGGCTGTTGCTGTTGTGCGTTCCCAAAACGTGATACTAACAATCGACTTAAGAACGATGTTTTAAGTGAACATATCCGACAAAAGCCAAAACGCACGTATAAAATATCTGGAGCGATTTAGGAGAAGAAACCTCTGACAGAAAACATATATAGTCGGACGTAAATTTGCTGCATTGAGTGTACAGTTTCCGCTAAGAGATTCGAAGCATCTTAGACTGTCTCGGGTACTCGACAGGCAGGTATTCTGCCGTGGGAACTTGGCTTCCACCGGCAGAAACATAAAGTGGGGTAAACTACAAAAATTTATTTTCACTTTGCTTTATTTTGGGCAATCCGTAATTTACGTGCAAACTTTCATCGTTTATTCTTTCGAAATAAATTGCATGTTATGGTTTAAATTGCTTTAAAAATTGACACATATATAACTGTTCATTCCCTAGCATTTTTTTCGTTAATAATTTACACCTCTTATATTTTTTTTGGTTTTTATTTTTTTTTATTAATTCGTAGTGGGGTAAATAGTATATACGTAGGTACATATTTTTATATTTTAATTATACATACATATTTAATTTTGAAAATAGCTAAAAGATAATATTTAGTGATTGTAGATATTAATACCTACATTAAGGAAATGACCAAAATAAAGCATAAAGCAGAATAAGGACTTGGAAACTATATTTTCCTAAATATTCGGTATCTTGAATAATTTTCTTCACTGTAATATTTTCAGTTGATACTCTTGATACAAATAAATACAATTTATTTGTTTCCAGAAATAACATGAATTTTTATTTTCATTTTGTAATAATTTATTTGTGCTAACAGTATTTTTTTTAAATTTTATACAAATGAGTGAATCCAAGTAGTAATTTAATGTTGATTGCATCGAAATGAAGTACCCAGCGATTGTATAAAAGAAAACGGTCAAAATTAAGCACGAACCGTATCGTCTGAACAGTTTTCTAATATGTATAGTTATGTCTGTCGAGTAACAGTATTCATTGGTCCGATGCATTCTAAAGAATTTAATTAATATATTTTCGCTAAAACTATGAAGTTGGAAAGCGTAACTTTTATTATGCGCATTGGTCGAAGAAGATATTTCCGTGTTTTCGAATAAATTCCACTGTTGCAATGCTTACAGGCCTTGCCAGTCGTTACGTACTGCAAAAGAACAATTTAAACACTCATATTACAAGTATTTTAAGGGTTGAAATGTGGACGCGAAATATTCGCAAAGATTTTCTCACAATTCATAACTAGAGAGATTACAAAAGATGCTTTAGTAACCGGTTCTCTTTTGTTTACTATGACTGGACCTACTATCATACCAGGCCAGAATATTCTCTTCTTGGATGTTAACATAATGACTACATATCTGTCTTACAAAAAATAACTTCTATTTTCTTGTTTATTTTTTGTCATTTTTTTTTAATTCTGGATAGATTCGAGAACTACTTCATATACTCATGCTCATCATTATGCACGTATTGTCTGTCATGTTAATTCAAACTTAAATTGTTTTTTCTGTCAATTTTTGCATGTTCTTTATCAAAATCGTCTCTTCTCTTGTTGGACAGACTTTTGCAATATACTTTTAATATGTTTTTCAAGATAATTTTCGCACTATATTATTTAACGTTGACGTAGGTGTCTATTGAGAAAAATCAAATAATATATAATCTGGCAGATGATGTTACGCGCTTGCATTTTGGGGTTATCGAGAAGAAATATTGGAAGGATTGGCAAGACGCCAAGGGGCTTGTCGTATTTTATGTGAAAAAAAGAAAGAAAATGAGCATTTCCAGAGGAATATTTTTATAATCCCGGCCGTCTATATAACTCTTTTACGGTGCATTTCACTCGTGGATAATTTATTATTAATTATTATTAAATCCTCGGCTATATCGGGCTCTTTATAGATTTCTTGATGTTCTTACAAGGTGTTTCACGAAAATCTGTTATGGACATGTATTTTTCGCAAAGTTCTTAATTAACATACATAATATATAAAATTATTAGGTACAGTAGCTTGCACAATAATCGCCTTGCAATATTATAATTTTATGTAATTATCTTCAATTATTTATTACTTTATGTGATTATTTAATAAATTGATTTCATTACTTAGGTGTTTAGAAATATTAGGCATGCTTCGATAATATTTTTTTCACTTACCATATTTAACAGTCTTACAAAATCGTTCTTTCCTGAAACAATAAATAACAATTAACATAAATAACATTGAAATGTCTGTAATTTGTAAATTTATAAAGTTATTTTCTTGTTACCAAAGAAATACAATGGTTAGCGAGAAATTAAGAGGACTTAGTATGTTTATTAGTAATCGGCTAGGGAACGAACGGTAAATATATTCAGGAAACACCCTGTATTTTCATAATAACGTATCATCTTCTCGAATCATGGGAAATAAGGCACAGCAACAGCCAAGCAGGTGATCGCCGCATTGCATGAAAGCGAGCTTCTTCTTTTTCTTATCCTTACAGAGAAAGTAGTTTCTCTTAACAATAAAGTCTAAAATTTTCTTCTTCTACAGGGTACCTTTTCCTTAATTGTTGAAGCATGGCATGGTAACGAATCGGCACATTCGGCAGGTAAGGAACCTTTACTACATATGTTTTTTATTGTGTTTTGTATGTGGCGCGCACAACTCAAGAACCATTCAACGAAATACCAAAGGCCCTGTTCAGAAAGAAAGTCGATCTTTTGTTGCTTACGACCACAGATCGATCTTTGTTTTTTTCTCCTTGGTATGAAGAAAAAATTACTATATACAGGGTGGTCCGAATTGTATTCGGGTAATTTCGGCAGCATATTCTGCAGATAAAAATTAGTAAAATAGTTCGTAAAAATGTATGTCCTAAAATGCGTCGTTTCCGTTCATATTTTTTAACTGATTTGAAGAGCAATAACTTTTCGTCGGTACCTGTATAAAATTACTGAGTAGAAATATATACATTTCCGTAATTTTTTACGTAAAAAATGTCTCTAGGTAAAAATCGGTATTAGGAACCGTTTTCAAGATATTTGGCGTATAAATACATGTCATTATTGACAAAAAATAAACTTGTTGGCGCCCCTACAAGTAAAAGTCATACAAACATCAAAATCGAATTTCTCATGTCAAAAAAACACCCAGACAAGAAATTTCATCCACTCGCAGACCACCCTGTATATCGAAGCTTCTTCAAATAAAAACAAATGCACAGAAGTCTCCAATCATCGTTTAAAAAAATATTTATCTTTGGCGAACAAAATCAAAAGATATTTTTTATAAATACCGGGTATTTTAACGTCAAAAAAAGCGGCATCTAGAACAAACGAATTTATGGAAACCTTTTTATCAATCCGAGCTGCGTAAGTAACTTTCTTTGGTTTATGTGTTGTAAAACTAAATAAATATGTGGCACGGTATACACAGGCACATGTATAACAGCTGTCAGCTACACAACGCCTCCTTCCTGATAACTAAAGGTTCATCTTCCGGTAATATTTAACCAATATACAGAGGTAGCCTTCGTTAAAGCCTTCGTTCAGATTTTTCCCAGTTAATTTCCGATTTTTGTTTGATTTTTTTACTTAATGTAAACAAACAAAAAGTCTGGGTCGTTTTTCTTACAGGCCCTGTATAATTCCCTATCAATTCCATTATTATGACTCTTAATGTATATTTTTATTTAAAGAAATTAGTTTTAAAATTTTTCAAATCTAACAAAAATAAATTAATATACAGGGTGGTCCGAATTGTATTCGGGAAACTTTGGCAGCATATTCTGCAGATAAAAATTAAAAATAAGTAAAAAAGTTCATATAAATTTATTTCCAAAAATGCGTCGTTTTGGAGATACAGGGTGTAGAAGTTTCATTTTTATTTTTTTTTCCAAATAATGAACTAACATCGATATTTTGGTGAAAATTGGTGTCTGGATGTTTTTTAACATAAGAAATTTGATTTCGATATCAATATGTCTCCTACTTTTAGGAGGCGCCACCTACATGTTGTTTAACTGATTTGAAGAGTAATAACTTTCTATCCGTACCTGTATAAAACTACTGAGTAAAAAATACATTTCAGCCATTTTTGACGTAAAATCTCCTGGTAAAAATCGCTACTAGCAAGGGTTCTCAAGATATTTAGAATGGAAATATGTACTCAATACATGTCATTATTGACAAAAAAATAAACATATGTATATGTTTAGTAGATCGTTATTTTTTGACTGAAATGATTTGGAAACTCTTTATTATTCTTCGAAAAAAATGTGATAAAACAGTTTCTGTTGAACTTTTGGCAGAAAAAAAAAATATTATTTCAATCTAATAACTAATTGTCATGACAGGTATTGACAATTTCGATTCCAAATATCTCGAGAACCATTACTCGTAGCGATTTTTACCAAGATACCTTTTTTACGTAAAAAACTTTGTAAATGTATATTTTTTTACTCGCTAGTTTTATACAGGTACGGACTAAAAGTTATTACTCTTCAAACCATTTAAAAAATATGTAGGTGACGTCCTCTAATAGTAGGAGTCATATTTACATCAAAATCAAATTTCTCATGTCAAAAAACTCCCAGACACTAATTTTCATCCAAATATCGACGTTAGTTCAGAAATTATTTGGAAAAACCAAATAAAAATGAAAATGCGACACCCTGTATCTCCGAAGAGAGTTCGAACCACCCTGTAAATATAGGTATTGAGTTATATTTCAAAATAACCCTTTTAGATAAAATAGAACCACAGATTAGGTATCCTATAAGTATACAGATAAAAATCTTGTCCCTAATTCGTGGTACGAAAATTGTTTTTTATGACGATGTGCAAACGAGTCAAATTTCCTGTGCGCAAAAATAAACTCGCGTAAAATAACAATAAACAGCGTAATAGAGAGATATCGCTAAACCGAATAGCGTGCATGGACGTTAATAAGGCCAGGTGTTATTTCCTTTACGTGAGGTGGTATTAACTCTCTTCATTTATAGTTATCGGATCGGAAAGAATTCTGATCGCGTCGCGTCCGTTATTTAAACTTAACCTAACTTTGAATTTAAAACTTTGAAATTGTTTTGTTTACTAGGTATTTTAAAACTAAAGGGCTAAAGTGCTTATTTCCAGTGCTTTATTGTTCAACGTCTGCCAATGGGTTTAGGGCAACAAGCAACAAATTCTCTTAGAAAGGCTAAGTCGTCATCTGCTGTAAACCTAAGACTCTTTATAGGTTCTTTAGTATTGGAAGAGGTGGAATCCATATTTTGGGCCATATTTACTTAATTAAAACTAATCCGAGCTACTTAAATATCAAATTACCTAATAAAACTAAAGCAATAATTCAAAACAATTCAAACATAACCTAAAATAAAGATCTCGCCGGCCGGCTCCGGTTGTCAATAACCCGCACATGCCCATTTAAGCAATTTTAAACGTTATCAGAGGTTATTTAGAAAGAGCGCTTGGTGTAATTGATCCGCAAATTACGTCAGGCGGTAACGTTATTAGCGGGTGTTGCGTTGACTCGCGCATATCGTAACCATGATAAGGTACGCGTAAATACTGGATGACGCTATTCGGTTTTCCGATATCTCTCTAATAACTGTGCCGGTCAGGCGCTGTGCACAATTTTAGAGGCCATAAGTGCCCGATTCCGAAAATTGGAACCACGAAAAACAATAAAGAAAAAACAAAGATTATAATCTGTGATAGAACTCTCCAGATTCAAGATATTTACATATTATGCATATCATTTTTTAAGAAATATCTTAATAGCAAATTACAAGAACTTTGTGTTCTTTTATTTATATGTAAACTCTTTTTTTGCTGTTAAATATTTAATATAATTTTTAAAATGTTGTAATAAATATTAAAAAGCAAATATATTATGGAGTAAATATTTGAATATTTATAACATGTCGATAAAAGGGCAGTATATATATGGCAAAAATAAATAAATAATGCTATGTTACATAACGTGAATTATTTTCATTTGGTGTGGTGTGCGTCGTGACGATAATACAGCACCATCGGTTGAGTTTACACTGAAAGCCAGGTGTTAGCTAACAAAGTAACCGTCTGTGGGTCCTCCCTCTCCCTTATATATATTTTTTTGTTGGACGGTCATGGTAAAATGATAAATAGATTCCAACTCCCTTTTGACCGATTATAATGTCATAACCCTAGCTTACTGACGTTTTTTCTTCTTCCTATGTCAAACTTTTATTTTTTCTATCTGTATAGTTTTTATCTACCATCGCGGGCTTTCAATTCTTTATCCCATGAACGTTATCGGGATCTTCGGTTGTTTGTTTTTGGTATTTTTGACAATTAAATGGGTTGTCTCGATAGAAGAAATCGTTTTTTATCCCCCTAGGTAAACCTCCTTTAAGCTTCTGATATTAATGATACCTATTCGAGCAATAATTGCATTCCTGGTAGATCTTGTCAAGGTCTTTTAACATTTTTCCCATAGAAATTTATCAAGATAAGATAATATCCATCTCGCTCTTTTGTGCCTTACAATATTTAACTTTTCAATCGTTCATATTGCTGCAGATTTTTATTGGAAACCCGTATTCACACATTATTTATATCTCACATCTATGACATAGGCGGCTCGTCACAAGGTTCAGAAATACATACTAAATATTTATAAAAAATATCACTTCAGCTAATAAATTTTAAGTATAAAATGTTTCTTATATATTCATATTAATGCAGGCACTAATCATAGTGAAAAAAATTTAAACAATTTTCACTTGTCAACATTTTTTATCGAGTGCTTTTAAATAGCTTCATCAACATTCTAGAGAGAGAGAGAGAGGGAGAGAGACGAAATATAATAATAGGAACTAAAGGATTCGTTTTTTTATTACCTATGGTCGACCAAGAGATGCGTCTGGTAGATCTCTAAAATAAATAAGCCCATGCAAGACAGGTTTTCTCCTTTAATTAACAGACATTCGTTAATGCGAAGAAAGAAACAGTAAATAAATGGTCAGGATAAAGACAGAAAAATCAACGCTAAACAGGCACATAGGAAGAAGCAGTTCAAAAGTACTTTGAAAATAATTTCTTGCCTCCTCTTGTTAACAGGAATATTTTACTGGTGCGCCTGAAAGACTTTTGAATATATATTTTTTCTTACGCGTGTGTATGTGTATATATATACATAATATTTTCACCGTTTGTTGACCCTGTGATTGTGTAACTTATTAATATCTTCCTTCCTTAATAAATTTCTTATTAATTTTAATCTATTAAATCAATTTTTGATGCAGTAATAGGGCATTAGAAAAAACTACTTCCTTCTAAATAGATTAAATTCAGAATTCGCATATATTTAAATATAATTTATTTTAATAAATGGCCTATCATTAGCAGAAATCATCACGAGCAGTTAAATTTATTATTTTTATATTTTAGACATTTTTCAACAGTTTTTTAGTTAATTTTGATTAATTTTAATTTGTCAGGCAATGATTGCGTAGAGTAGCTTTACATCATAATGTTGAAATCCGCGAAGTAGGTGCCTAGAGGTATTTACGTATTCAGTTTATCTAATGATAGTATAATATACAGTAGTAGGCACGTCAACGTCTAGATAGACGCCTCTATTAAAAAATGTTCTTAAATTCATTTATATATTTTAACAACTTTTATTTTTAGTTAATAAACTTTATTTTTTTCACTGTGATACATAGTAAATGATTAGGCAAAGGTAGTTATGTTTGGTAGTAAAAAAAACAGTAAGAAAAAGATCTAATTGTTGTGGCAAGCCAGTCGTATCCATTGTTATATTTTGTTGTAAATAATTCTTCCGTAAATTCAGCGTGTGCCTACCAAAACTGCTCTGCCTCGCCGTGCTTCTATTCTTCTCAAACCCATTATATTATCTCCCCGATATGAATTTCTCATATTTAATTATAATCTTAGCTGTATTAAAGCTCGTATAATATATTTTTTCCGGAATCTACGATAGCCAACATAATGTAACGTGTGAATCTACTTAATTAGACGCTGCTATAACGAACGATTTTTTTACGGAGAAATATACACTTTATTCCCTTAAGTATACGGCATTAACATAACTGGTATAAGTTTTATTTTATAACCTATTAAGTGTCATTTCGTTTACCAGATTCTCTCTCTATATCTCTGCACTACTTTTCCAAATTTAAATTTTTAATTTCTCTATTTTTACATGCCTATACTTTTAACGTTGTTTTATTTAAAAGGACCAGAAATATTTTGGGAATGCATTTTTATTAATGCCAGATGAAAGGAACTTTTATTTGAAATGCCTTGTACAATTGTAATATACAGGATGAGTGTTTTTTTAATTTTAATGTCATTGTGTTTACTGGAGTCCGTCTCTATATCTCTGCAATACTTTTCCATGCCTATACTTTTATCGTTGTTTTTATTTACACGAACCAGAAATATTTTGGGAATGTCTTTTTATTAATGCCAGATGAAAGAAACTTTTTGAAATGCCTTCTGCTGTTATAATATACAGAATGAGCGTTTTTTAATTTTAATGTCATTATATTTACTGGATCCTCTTTCTCTCTCTGCACTACTTTTATATGCCTATACTTTTATCGTTGTTTTAATTTGAAAGATCCAGAAATATTTTGGGAATGCCTTTTTATTAAATGTAGGATAAAAAACATCAACAATCAATTTTTAATTTCTCTATTTTTTACATGTCTATACTTTTAACGCAGTTTTAATTTAAACGAACCAGAAATATTTTGGGAATGTCTTTTTATTAATGCCAGATGAAAGAAACTTTTATTTGAAATGCCTTCTGTGGTTGTAATAAGTATACAGAATGTATATTTTTTAATTTTAATGTCATTGTATTTACTGGATTCCCTCTCCATATATCTGCACTACTTTTATATGCCTATACTTTTATCGTTGTTTTAATTTGAAAGATCCAAAAATATTTTGGGAATGATTTTTTATTAAATGTCAGATAAAAAAAACATCAACAATCAATATTTAATTTCTCTATTTTTACATGCCTATACTTTTAACGTTGTTTTAATTGAAAAGAACCAGAAATATTTTGGAAATGCCTTTTTATTAATGCCAGATGAAAGGAACTTTTATTTGAAATGCCTTCTGCAGTTGTAATATACAGAATGAGTGTTTTTTAATTTTAATGTTATTATATTTACTGGCTCCCCTCTCTATATCTCTGCACTACTTTTACATGCCTATATTTTTATAATTGTTTTAATTTGACAGATCCCGAAATATTTTGGGAATGGCATTTTATTAAATGCCAGTTAAAAAAACTTCAACAATCAATTTTTAATTTCTCTATTTTTACATGCCTATACTTTTAACGTAGTTTTAATTTAAACGAACCAGAAATATTTTAGGAATGTAATGCCAGTAATGTTAGATGAAAGGAACATTTATTTAAAATGCCTTGTGCAGTTGTAATACTCATACACAGATTGAGTGATATCTGCACTACTTTTACATGCATATACTTTTAACGTTGTTTCGATTTGAAAGATCGACAAATATTTTGGTAATACTTTTTATTTATGTTCGATAAAAAGAACTTTTATTTGAAATGATTATATTTTCTTAGGCAATTTTATACACAAGATATAAACAATTTTTAAGCATCAGTCATCAAAAAGATTTAAATAAACGGTTTATAAAACGTACATAGGGTTTTTTTCGGTGTTAAAATTCGAATTTGCATTGTTCCAGTTACCCATACTACTTGTTACCGAATGCTTGGCTGCGCGTCTTAAGAAAAGCTGATACCGGATGTCCTGTCTTTTTATTTTTCTCCCCAACTTATGGAATACAATCTCTAACTTCCTTCGGTTCACCCCTCACCTATACACCTTCGATATACTTCTTTTTTAAACTAACGTGACGGGTTAAGTTCTGTTTTTTAGGGGTTGCCACACATTTTGCCGTTCACCGCAGATAATTTGTAAATAAGGGGAGGTTGTTTTTGGTTTTATTCGGGTTTATTTACCAAAATAAATTTGAAAATTAACCTGAAAATGTCCAAACAGATCTAAGTTAAAAAATAACAATAATATACTTGAAGACTTGAAATTATTCAAATATAAATTATTATGTGGTTCAACCTTTATTTTTTTTTAATTCAAGTGAAAACAAATATTATATAATAATACCTTTTTAATATTTTAAATTCTTTCGTTGTTCTGGAAAGCTGCCAATTAAAAAAAATATATTTTCGTCTTGATTCGCCAATAAAATTTTAATTAATTGTTTAATAAAAATATTTAATTAATATATCCTGTGGAAGGAGTGGTGGGTAATACTTAGCAAGGTTTAGTTAATTAGGGCCTAAACAGTTTGGGGCCATTTTAATCGTCTTCTCGAATCTGACGAGAATCAAGTAAAAAATCTTGGGAACAGGCAAAGGTGTTCTGCCTTTTGTACCGGATACAGCTGTTCTTAGGACAGGATGCTTTTCTGTATAGTGCAGGTGTATTTTGCTCTCTTTCAACCACTCAGTTCGATTTTTTTTCCTCTTCGTCGACTACCTTTACCACAGACTGGTTAATATACATCGCCTTTATTTTATTATTTTATATTTTATACTGTACTTCCAACTTAAATTATATTTTTGGTGCGTTAAAGAAGAGTTCTAAAATTAAAAATTAAATTTCTCACTTAAAATCTACATGTGTTTTTCAATTAGTGTAGATAATTTCTGGCAAAACAATTTCAGTTAGATAACTTCATTTCCTATTAGTTATTATCGCTTTATATTGCAACATTTGATTTCATTCAGTTTAAAAAATTAATTGTAATATTTTGAGCCTTGTAAAATAAAATAATGTTTATTTTTATAATATTCCAGTCATTCAACTCTACTATTTACATCATCTACATAATTTATTTTCGAAAAATTATCTAGATATATTTCTGTATGCATTACGTGTCTCTCAATTTATTTATGTAGCAAATAAAGTAACTAAAGACTTTAGACGTAGGTAGTATTTTTTATTGAAAGTTTCATACTTGACAGAAAATGTCAGTAGGTCTCTATTACTCTTCAGAATCATTTATTACGTCAAATGTATTTATGGAGGATTTTTTTTGTTACAGTGTTGGTCAGCAGACTGATGCGTCAACGGTGGCTAGATGTGAGTGACCAATGGACTGAAGATTCACATAGTTCAAAATATTCAACACTAAGATTCGAGTACAGAGTTACATGCGAGCCTCACTATTATGGAAAAGGCTGTGTAAATCTGTGCAGGCCTCGTGACGATGCTTTTGGACACTACAGCTGTTCGCCCTCCGGAAAAAGGGTCTGTCTTGCCGGATGGACAGGCGATTACTGCACAAAAGGTTAGTACCAACTATTATTTAAGATATTTTCTTGCGTTATTTTTAGTTATTATTGAGAAAAAAAACAGAACCTTCCCTTTTTTGAGACCAAAAAATGAACAGTCATTATTTTAATTATTCAATTAGTTCAAATAACTTGTAAATCCCTTTAATTAATATGTTAAGAGTGTTTTTTGCTTGAGACTTAATTTAGAGCAATTTTTAGTCAAGAGATATTACATAATAAGTGTTGATTGCACATAAAAATTATGAAATATTGGCGATAAATACCGTAAGACAAAGAGATGAGAAAAAAACTGAATAAGAAAAGTAAACAATGATCGAAGCTGGTTAAATCTGGGATTGATGTGTGTATTAAACACAAAAGCGACACAAAAAAATGGAAATTTCGTATCTGAAGACACAAAAAATTGACCGCGAGATCTAAGACGTGAGCTTCACTGCTGCCGAGTTTTCAGCCGTTCAGCCTGCAACGTTCCCACGATCGCGGCATACCTGTCTGTCTACAGGGTGTTCCGCATAAAATGGTCCAAAGGAAATTAATTGCTTCGGCTGACCGTCACCGTCGTCTCTCTCTCTCTCTCTCTCTCTCTCGCCCTAATACCGCTGTTTTATTACACAAAATAAACTTCTGTAATCCTGTTTGTTTCTTTTTTAAACAACTTTTCTCGTCTTTCTCATCATGGTCTGTTTTTTTTTATTTTTACACCGATTTTCGGAGTGTCATAAAAATCATAAAATTTAAAATCACCTTTATATAACAGCAACTATTCACTCTCTAGCTTTTGATATCGTTTCTATCTGTCAGATTTTCTTTATAATTTGACAGTCTTATTAGTTTTTTAAATGATTCAATTAAAAAATCCAATTATTCAAGCCCTACTTTTAAAACAATTGTTAGGTACGTTTCGTTCATTTAAAAATCAAATTATCTACTAAAACAGTGATGTTTCCTAGGTAAATGAATCTATTTCACGAAGAACTAACGTTGTGTTTTCTTTGTTTTAGCTCAATGCCTACCAGGATGCGATGAGCAACATGGTCATTGTACACTGCCGAACGAATGCAAGTAAGTACATTTAAATGTTAATTTTCTTTTTATGTTTATCTGTTTTTCATATATGTGTGTTATAAATCGACGTGTTTTTTTCTGCCGCATGGAAAATGAAAGGATGAGGATAGGCAAATGTCGCGTAGCGGATTTATGCGCTTGTTACTTTTACTGATATTTCGTATTCTCTTTTGGAATGCAAATAAAAATATTTATAAATATTTCATCTACCTATTCTGTTCTTTATAAAATTAAATATCAACACAACAAGAAAGGTGTAAGTAAATCTTTTAGATATTTGTTTTATTAAATTTATTAATCACATATTTTTGAATTAACTTATATTCCAATGTTCCACCCAATATAATACCGTATGATCGGAAAAAAAAGGCGTCCAGTTGGTTGGGAAATGACGATCGATGAAATTTCCCATATAAATTTACGTATAAAATGACAGCGATCTTCATTTCATAGCCATCGTTGACGCCGTTTTTTTTTCGATTATACGGTATATATGGTACATGAGAAGAACCAGGCAATTCATATTTGTACATATGTGCTCAAAATACGAAAGAAAGAAACTTCTTCCCCAGACATAAAATAATGAATGGGAATATGAAGAGTAAAAATATACTTAAGTGGGTTGCGAAAGGGTATATTTTTGGTAGGAAGAGCGTAGCGCGTCGTCTTCGAATTGGGGCGATCGAGGTGCAAGTTTACGCGGAAATCGAGCAGCGGCCCGCGATCGCCGATCCGCATTAGCCATTCTAATCGTGCGCTGAGAAACGGCGGCTCATTGAGTTGCAGCCCGAGTCCGCGGGGAGCGGGGGAACACGCCCACGGAGCCGATTCCCACGCTGCCCGTTGGCAAGTATGCGGGTCAAGGAAAGGTTAGCGCTGGGTCGGCGGCCCATCGAGCAAAATGGCAAAGCCGGGCCTGGCAACCGACTCACCACCGTCTCATCTCATCTCACCAACTCTCTCTTTGTTTCAGGTGCCAGTCGGGCTGGGAGGGTCCTCTCTGCGACCAGTGCCAGCGCTACCCCGGCTGCATGCACGGCTCCTGCGTCAAGCCCTGGGACTGCCTGTGCGACGAAGGCTGGGGAGGCCTGTTCTGCAACCAGGACTTGAACTTCTGCACCAATCACCGGCCCTGCAGGAACGGCGGCACGTGCTTCAACACCGGCCCGGGCAGCTATACTTGCAACTGCCCTCCAGGCTTCAACGGTACTGATTGCGAAATCACCACTGATGATTGTACCAGAGCTCCGTGCCTTAACGGTGGGACTTGCCGCTTTGAGGACAATGCCGTACCAGTATGCCAGTGTCCTCAAGGATTTGGAGGTGCTCGATGTCAATCTCCTATATCCCCTCCACCTCCACCTGGCTGTTCTGGAGCTCCCTGCCATAACGGAGCTACTTGCATAGATACACTTGGAGGATTCACATGTTCTTGTCCATCAGGCTTTACCGGAGCTACTTGTGAACGAATGTTGGGACCTTGCGATTCCAACCCTTGCGAAAATGGAGGTGTGTGTTCCGAAGCGGCCGGAGCACCTCGAGGATTCCGTTGCGCCTGTCCTGCCGGTTTCACCGGTGACAGGTGTCAGGTTGACATAGACGATTGCGCCGGCGGCAATCCTTGCCAAAACGGAGGAACGTGTATAGACAAAGTGAACGAATTCCGATGTCAGTGCGTGCCTGGATTCGCGGAGCGGCTGTGCCAAAAACGAGTGGACTATTGCGTAGCCAAACCATGTGCCAACGGAGGAACTTGCCAACAGCTGGTCAACGACTACAAATGCCAGTGTCCGCCGGGTTTCGGCGGAAAAGATTGTAGCGAAGAAGTAAACGAATGTCTCTCCAATCCTTGTCGGAACGGTGGGACTTGCATAGGTAGGTCACGAGGTTTTAGTTGTATTTGCCTACCAGGTTTTCTGGGAAAGAACTGCAGCGAGGCACACGCAGGTGCTGCATCCAGCGCCCGCATATCTACCGAGTCAACACTGACAGCTGAGCACGTGATCGTGATCGCTACCATTTCAACTTTCGTCCCTCTGCTAGCACTAGTAGCCGTTGTGGTTATAGTGTGCTTGAAACAGCGACGGAAAAGAGAAAAAGCGCGGGCTGACGAAGAAGCTCGCCTGCAGAATGAACAAAACACGGCGAATAGTAGTTTCGCCAAGCGTGGCGCCACGATGGCCGCAGAGGCGCGGATGATCAAAAACTCTTGGGGCAAGTGTACCAACAACGCCCTAGACGAGGCGTCTGGTGGAGGAGACTTGGAGGCCTTCCCCAAACAGCAGCAAGTGATCGACGGGCGGCCGGTGTACGGCCTGCAGCGCAGCCGTTCCCAGAAGCAGCTGAACACGGAGCCTTGTTCGGCGGCGGCTTCCGTGGCCGTGGCAGCAGCCAGGGCGTCCGCCCTGCTCGCTGCCAAGCTGCACGAGCCCGAGTACGAGCCCGTGAAGCGTTTGTCTGTGATGTCGTCGCAGGGCGAACCCCCGTCCAAGGACGCCCCCGTGTTTGTAGTGGAAGAACACTTCCGAGTGCCCGTGCCCGGCGGTCTTTTCGCCACCGAGGTGTGATAGGTGGTGCCAAGACGCCGCCCCAAAGACTGCTGTGTTCCGCTCCCGAGTACCCGCTAGTCTAATCCTGCACAAACTGTTCCAGTCATATTTTTAATTCTCTCTCGTTTTTTTTAAATCGAAATTCCTGTGGTACTCGGTCGGTAGTTCCGGCTTCGGCTGTTGTGGGGCGTCGCGCTGGGATGTCCGGGTGCTTCCATCGCCTCCGTCGGCCGATCCAGCTACCATGTCCATAGTGTAAATACTAGAGTAGCGTTTTGTAAAGTTGTTTTAAGCCGCTGGATCGGTCGGAAACCAAAGATTGGGCGCTGGTGAATCGCCTGCATCCTGCGTGGCGTTCCTCTGGTAAAATCTCTCGATTATACCATTGTGATGCATTTAAGTGAGCTAAGTCACCCGAGGGGTTAGTTACTAGTAATTTTGCGGAGTGATCCTCTTAACCCATATCATATATAACGTTCTCTCTTTTTTTATCGACGATAAAATATCTATACCAATCACTAATATGAACCCACCCAAAAAACAAATACTTTGGGCGAATAAATTCCGATAAGGGATTTACAACATTTGCTATAAAAAGCTTCACAACTTTTTAAGAATTTTATTTCTTTATTTCAATACTTCAATATTACTATTTTTTAATTAAAAAATGTACCTATAGGTTTATCCCCACTGCCTTGTAAGTATTGTCTCTCCCTGTTTTGAGTTAATCCTATTTGATTTCTTCTAGTAGTTCATTCAAGAATATTAAAAGTTTAATTTTGAGTAATCTTATTTTTATCTAACTTATTTATTTATATTTTTAAAATCACAGATATTAAAATAAACTTTATATACCTTCATATACCTATATTAAGATATATAAAATGAAATATCTAGATTTTCTTTAATAATGAAGTTAGGATTGAAAAGCGTTAAAGGGATCACTCTTAGGTATTATTAAATTTTTAGTTATAAATTATTTTTCGGACCGTATTTTAATATGTTTATTTATAAGCACGCTTAATTTATAACTTAAATTATTTTTTCTGACTGATTTTTTCCTAATAGTTCCGATCGAAATTGGTTAATTAAAATTGTTTTGTATTTATACATCGTTGTCTCTCTGCCAATTTACTAAAACTAAGCGGCCAAAAATGCGTCCAAGTGCATAAATACAAGGCAAAGCTAGTTTCGATCCTTATTGCTTGTCGTTAATGATTTAAACGCCTGTTTGTTGAATCCAACAAATGTTTCTTCACATTTTCCGCTTAGCGTGACTGAAATTTGACATTAGATTTTTTTCTTTGATGACTTTGAAATCTAGGGGACCAATAGACTTGAGGCGAGCCGATGACGTGAAGAAACGTTTTTTAGTTTTAACGACAACCAATAACGTATTCGTTTGTAGTTTTGTAGTAAAGAATTGAAAAGGACATACGTTTAAAGTAGGGTGTCCGTTAATAGTGAACCTTATCTCCCCCTTGTAATTTTGTGACTACCCCTCCTAACCCCAGTACTTAAAAAGGGAAGATCGACTCCGCTGTTCGATTAGGTCTGGCATTCGCGTATTTATTCTCTCTTGGCCAGTGGACTCTTATTTTTGCATAGACCTAGTAGACCAGCCCGTATCTGATCCGATAATAATCCTCGATTTTCGTCCAACATATAGACTTTATTTAAATCGAACAAAGAAACTATGTTCCTGTATTCGTTAACTAAGTCATTTTTCTGTGGCGTACGAACTATTGCCTCACATTAGTGTTTTTTGTAACTCTGAATTACAGGGTGTGCGCTCATGACTGATATCTCACCTGCTTTTAATTGTAAGCTTTGATTAGTTCATTTTTTTTCTCGCTAAATTAGATTCGATTTTAATTTATCCTATTTAGCTTGTAATTATTAGCAGCTTCTTTCAAATGCCACACGCTGTATATTCGATGTATTACTTAATATTTGGGCAAGTTAAAAGACTTATAGTAAAGACGTTTTTTTTTGTAATATATCCTTGTGTATATTTATGTTACAATTCGTATCTAAGAGTTGTTCTGTTTCTGAAATACTTCTAGAGAAGCGGCTGTATTTGTTCCTCATGTGAATAATGTTATTTAAAAGTTATCCTAATAAATTTTTTGTTCTATAATCGTTTCGTCTTTTTTTACAATTCCCCTGACTTTGAATAAAAAAATGTGCAAGACAGAAGTGTAAACAGTCATTAAAGTATATGACACTGAATAATAAATTCTTGGAAATATCACTTTAAAAGAATCAATTGTGTGGGGCCCGTCTAAGGCCAGGTAAGCCATAGGCATACTATTGTGCCCTTTTTAAAAACATATGGTGCTACCTAGAACTGTGAGCCCAGGTGTAGAACTTTAAAGCCAATACGAAGGTCTCTTTCAATGAACCATATTGTCTGTGTAAAATCTTCAAAATATTACTTGAAATATTTTTTTTAAATTCGTTTCTGACATCCAGAAATACAACTTTTCTTAAATAAATTAATATAGTAGATAAAAGACGGTAGTAAAACACTTATGTGTATTATAATGGTTTCGTTCCGACATAAAGTCACTACTAGTGGCAAGCTATCACACCAAAAAAAGATAAATGAGCTACCGCTAAACCCAAAAAAAAACTTAAGTGTGTATTTTCCTTATCTCTAAATTCTACCCTAAAAATTAAAAGGGACTTCTGCTTATACCCCTTCAAAAAAAGTTTTTAGATAAAAACATCATAAAACTGCTTTTTTATTAATGATTCTTATAATTCCTTAAGGGCTTAGGGATGGATTCTCTTAAAACCTTTTTCAAAGAGTCGATTTACATGGAGGTCATTAAGACAGAAGTACCTTAATTTTTTTGAAATAGGTATTTTTAAAAATATAATTTTTCGAAATACGCAAGCTTAATTGCTATTAATTATTGAATTTCTAATTAACCCCAGAAATAAAAAAGTAGTTACGATTTACGATAGTTCGCAATTTAAAAGGTAATTACTAATTACGGATTCTCGATGTTGCAATTTTTTATATTTAATATTCATCAAAGAGAAAGGTATTGCCATTTTAAGGATAGGTTTGAGTCAAAATGCTATTAACAGTATGCAAGAGGAAAGTACACTTTGCTAGATTCGAGATGCAATAAGCCACCATCAATCGGTATGGTATTACGAGGGGTTACATAAAAGTAGTCTTAAATATATTCCTCATTTTATATTTATATTTAGGTAATTTAATATTATTATATTATCAAGTATTATCAGGTAAGACAAATTAAAAAATGTCGTATATTATATTGCTTAAACTTCATTTGAAACAAGCAAACGAGCATGCAAAGTTAATTGTGAAAATACTTAAAATCGTATAGTTTGACAATAATCATTAACTATCTCTAAATTTTGTAAAATTAAAATTACATTATTTTGTGAAAATATGCAAAAATATTAGAATTTTAAAAATCGCTCATTACAGATGCTCTAATATGTCATATTATTTTTTGCTGCCATATTATTTTTTGTAAATTTATATATTTTTTTTTCTTGTTCGTCAGTAAAACTGACCGTTTTTTCCTCTTCACACAAGGATTTCCATGATACGTTTTGACTGAACAGTAAAACTGACAGGTAAAACTTGATGTATAGACCGGACCTAATACAGAGTGACTTTTAAATAAGTGCAAATATTTTTAGATTAATATATTAATATAATTTAGAACAATTATTTTAGAGTAGTATATTCCGACCCCAGAACCATGATGAGTTTTTTTCGCGTTTTTTTTTAAATTTGGATTTTTTTTAGTTATTTTTATGGTAGATTATCCAGTGGTTCTCAATTTTTTTTTAAATTTTCGAAGTATAATAACTCGGTTATTATGGACTTATTTGAAAAACGGCAAAGAGAAAATATGTTTCTTTTATCGAGATCTGCCAGCCCTGAAAATATTTGCACTTATTTAAGACTCACTCTGTATAATTATATGTAATTTCAATTGTAACTTTATTTAGTGACATCACCTCAAAGATTAAATAGGATTATCTATTAAAAATTAAAAGCATTTAAAGGCAGATATACCCTGTGCCTATGGAATATTAAGTGATTTTATTGGTTAGGTAACAGTAAGCTATATTTTAGGATTACAATAAAGTTAGGAATAATATAATAACAATATAAGATTTTAAAGAAAGATAAATATAAAGTATAGGTATTTAAAATATGAATAATATGTGTGGTTCAATCGGTACCTAATAATGTTTGTACCACTTTCGCGCGGCAGTTATTTAGCCAGCATCGTACCACAAAGATGCGAAGAGATTAAAGGTAGGTACCGTATTGAGTTGGTGCTATACGACGCTGCATTCCAAATTCCGTAGCGAAGATGCTTCTAAACGTGAAAGTAGTGTTTCCACTCGGCATGTAGGTTGGTGACTGGGCCTTTGAAATTAATTTGTTTCTATGCGCGATTGGATAGACCTGACGGCTTTTTTTATTATTATTATTTAGCGAAGAAGCGAACAGTGATACCTACTGGCTGAAATAACTTCGAAATTTACTGCTTGCGTATTGAGTAACTATTCTGAACATTTTTTATCCTCAATAATTTTATTGCATACCATAAACTCGTATGGCTATAACGCGTTTTTCTAATCAGAAGGATGTGCATATTTTAAATGGAAAGGTTGAATTACTCAGATGTTCGTTATGAAACTGAAGCTTTAACCCGAAGATACACACATAAAAGAAATCTATAATAAAACCAATAAGCTATAAAATTAGCATTTATTAAAGAAAAAAAGCATCGCTTTTTAGGAAACGTGAGATTTTTTTAGTTCAAGAAATTGTAAGATAGACAAAGATATCCCAAATGTCAACACCGCATCTATTTTTAACTGATTTCGTCTAAATTGGGAACAGCAGTGATTATTATATGCTGATGGACAATATATTTTCACATAAAGCAGATGTCCCTCTATAAAAATTTCAAGTCACTTTATTTATTATATCTATGTTTTGTTGAAATTTATAAAATAGCCAAAAATATATAGCTGCAACTTCAAATATCAATCCGCAATTTAATCATTTTTCCATTTTTATTTTCATCTAAAATGCCATGGCATGAATTAAAGAACTGTAATGATTGAATATGGCAAAGTAAAAGTTTCGAACAATTAAAATGTATTATTTTTAAGTATACCTACCATACAATCAGGGTTGTAAAAAATCAGAATTTTAAAAAAAAAATTAAAAATCAGTTTTTTTATTTAAATCAGATTTTTTGATTTTAATAGAAAACATTAATGTAACGTTTTTCATTATCAGAAGAACCTAGTTTGGACTAGAGTTTGCAAATGAAATGTATTCAAACAGCGCATTTTTGTCACTTGTACATAAATTTCGAAATAAATCCCTGCCCTTTAGAGGTCTAATGGATTCACACAAAAATACTTCACATTTCGGAAAAATCGGTACATTTTATTTGATGAATAGATATAGGGTAAATGTGTTATAAAAATATTTTTTATAGTTTTCTAGGACACATTTTTGTGTATATTTTTAACTTTTACAGTTATTTTTCGATTTATTATTTTAAAGAAGTTTTAAAATAGTTTTTTTTTATTTAAATTACATGATTAAAATAAAAAAAATCACTCGATTTAAATCATGCCAACTCTACATACAATTTAGTAACAATACATACATATATGGTGCGCTGTATTATATATATATACCTACATACATAGGTAATAAAAAAAATAATTAAGGAGATTCGCATGAAATTGTTCCACCTGTAACCCAAATAAACCCGCTGACATTTTTTCTTTATAAAGAATAAAATAAATTAATCCAAAAATAGAGTTGCACCGCGCAGAGTAAAAAGTGTGGGACGATACGAGATAAATAACAAATTTATTCGTTTTGGAATCCTTTCACTTTCCTTTGCCTTTGTATAGGCTTACGCAAGGAAGGACTTTTTTGGAATTTCCGCGTATATCTTATAGCCTATGTAGGTGTCTAACTGATGCGCCTATTACGAGATAAAACACTTTCGTTTGAGTTATTTACTATTCATCACTCTGTTTTAAATCGCGCTGCTTTGAGATATCCGAATTATTTTAAAATTTATCTACTAAACTAGTATAGTATTTTAATAATTTCGTATTAACGTCCTATATAACAACCCCACAAATAATAAGTACGCCTCTGGAAATAGTGACTTTCGTTTCGTTGCAAATTAATATACATCGACCTTTTATTAATGTACAAGCCATCTAAATAGGTGTACCTAGTTATGAAGTAGCAAAAAAACTTTGCTTATGGCATATATTTTTTCCATATTATATAGTGGCTGTATCTTAATATAATAATAAAAGTAATAAAGTGAGTTTTTGTAGTTAAGCTTAAGACGATGTTGAGGCAGAAAGTATGAACAAACAAATAAATATATCATCGGTTTTGTGTCTTTACTGCGGCATCTGAAATACGTTTACAAAAAGCAGGATGACTTCTCTTAAAATAAATGCTTCTCATTCTTTTCGAGGCTATTTTATCCGCAAGGCTGTTAATAGCAAGACCGAAAAAAGGCACCAAACGAAATTTATACGACATTTCCCGTGAGATAGTACCTGCCTCTAACAAAATCGCAATTGCAACACCATTAATTGGTTAACAATAATTATAATTGGCCGATTTAAATAAAATTTATTCCGGAAGGAACCCAGTTTAATACGTTAATTAAACAAATCAAAAGCGCACTAATTATCTTTAAGAAACTCTACGAAAAATAGTTAATTAAGCTTCAGCCGCCAATATGACGGAAAACTCTATTAATATGTACGTTTATGTTAATTAAATAATAAGCATAAATCTTCGTAGGTGGTTCCACCTAAAGCTCCTTTTTTAATCAACTCCCAACTATTTTGCATACACCAACCCTGTTTGTCACTTCTTCAATAACATCAATTAAACATTAACAACGTAGAATCGTTATTCGCTTCATCCCGTTTGTTATTCAAGCAAATTTATCTCGAACAATAATTAATTGATATCTATTTTATAATGCTGAGACAAATAAGAATAGTAATTAAAATATTGAGCGTTAATAAACTGTGTAATTATCGATAATTTACAAATTAATAAGGCGTTATCAAACTCAAGTCGCCAGTGCAAGGGAAGTGTAAAAAAAATTGTATTTTTAATGTTGAATTGTGTATTGTGGCGCCATCTTGTATCAAGCGCTCGAACTGCGTCTCATATTATACAGTTAGTTATAAAGCGATTACTTTAATCCTTTCAATAAATCTTTAAAAAATAATTTCCTGCTGCTATATTTAATTACAAAAATAGATATCTCTTAGCATAACACTATCTATGGAGGGCTTAATAATCTATTAAGGGCTATCATAGCGATTTTTATTGTTATAAAACAATAAAGGCTAATATTACGTCTATTTTGATTTTTTGTTTCTATGAAATACTTTATGGATATTCATTTTCAATCCACTAAGATTAGCTTTCCAGATAAGCCATAATAAAACGTATTGTATTATATTTTATATTATTATAGAGTATTATGTATAGAAATACCGAGTAATTTGACTATGGATTAATACATTTGCGAAAAAAAATGTATTATCATTATTTAATATGAATATTATAACACAATATTATTGTCTATCTGTATATCTGGTTTTATTGGTACAAGGGTTAAGTAGAATAGCAAAATTATTAGACTTTGTCTTCGCACCAGCCTTTTTGGGTATTTTATACTCAATGTATTTTTATATTTTTAATTAAAGACCGTATTATTATTATCGTAAATAGTATTGCGTTTTTTGCGTATACTTCTGCTATATTCAGAGATACTAGAAAATTATTTTCCAAAAGTTAAATAGTATTTGCTCCCTATGAAGTGAGACCGTCAGTATCATACCTGCGCAGTAACTCACAAGAATATACTTGCAGTTTAATGCGCAGCAATGTATGCACAGTGAGTGAAACACGTTTCTAAAAAATATACAGATATAACCAACTACTAGTAGTATTGGATAAGTTGTGATAAAGGATTTAGTCTTGCAGATATGATCATAGGAATGCTAGGTGGGTGTAGTTTTAGTAATGGAAACAGAATAGCAAAATAATCAGAAGAAAAATATTTAACGTTATTAAATAATATAAATATGCAATCAATATTGTTTAGAATTTACCGTCTGATTATATACATAACTATTCTGTCTAAAGATATATATATATATATATATATATATATATATATATATATATATATATATATATATATATATATATATATATATATATATATATATATATATATATATATATATATATATATATATTGTTATTATAAGTTTAACAAAGTGAAACAGCACCAACTTTAATAATAAGGTTTTATTTACAGAGAATAAATTATTAAAGCTATTAACTAATTTTTCGCGTTAACGATAAAGAAATGTTTGTATACTATATAAGCAAAAAACTAAAGGAAAAGTGAATTAAAATAAATCTACCTTAAGGTCATAACATACAATGTCTTCTTTTATTAACATTTTATTTTATCTCGAAATCTACAGGTCACACTGAACCAAGAGCAGTCCTAACAACAAAGTGAAATACGTGGTTTGATAAAACTGTTAATAAAAGTCAATTCTTGACATTGCGGAGTTTCATCTGAAACTCTATTAGCTGGGAGATCATTAAAAAGTGACTGAACTTCAATTTGAGAATTTAAAAATAGTGAATATTTGCACAAAAATTATACAAAATGTTTTGTTGGTAATGATTGAAATATTTTAAAATTAAAAAAAAAATTCTTAATTCTTGATAGTAGAACAACTACCAAGAATTTATTTCAAATTAATTCCAAAGACTCTAAAAAAAATTACTATATTATATTTGATTTCAATCACTGCCCTTTTTTTATCCAAAAATAGGTATCAATTTAAGCTTAGGAATTTAAGTAAAATGAAAGGAGTTGCAGAGCAACTGCTTTTGGTGATATATAAAAAATAAATTACAGCGTACAATTCTGTAGATATCACAAAATGAAAACGAAAAACAAATATACCCTGAATTTTTGACGTATATGTATGTATAAGTTCCGTAAGTTCCGGTGTTGATGACATTGGAACAAGCCACTTTTAGTTTTTACTTACATATACACATTAACATTAACTGAACTTCACTTCTGTCAATATATTTAAGCCAGATTTCTTCATTTACTTTAGACAGATATATACACTGAACATTTCTTTTACTATGCTATCAGTCATTTAAATAGGATATAACTGTTAAAGGTAGGTAAGAGACAAGAAGGGTAGCATAATGTAAAACATGAGAAAATTTTCACCTTAGCACAAAGTACATCAATAATGAATTAGAGTGAGATCTTACATATTAAGAACATAGATAAATTTCTTTGGTTCAATAAACATTCTACAAAATTCTACCCCTAACTAATTGCAATGCAGCATTAAAAATAAATATACAGTTTGTCTAACGAAAATACGAGAATGACACGTGAAAAGTTCAGACAGAGATTGTATATTACAAATACATATCACAAAATAATGACTGGGTGGGACCCAAAAATAAGATAAAAATTACAATTGATTCGTCAAATAGCAACAAAAATCACAGATATTTTGCAAACCTAAGTAAAGAAAAAGAGTACTGCAGAGCATTAATAAACTATCAATGTCGTATATTAATTTTTAACTTTCACAACCTCCACGAAGTTTTACAAGCTACATAACCATCAACTGTAAATATCAACTAAATATTCGAAAGGATTATGTCCATAGCTATTACATTATATATATTTAATAGTCTTTTAGATTATTGATCCCCACAATACTCTATGTATATATAGTTATGATTTTATACTTTCTCCTAAATTTATCCATCAAAATTAAATCACTGACATACAAAACAAGTAACCACTTTACTCTTTAATTATTTTTAACATACTTTCGACCTAAATTCATTCAAAAATTATCCATTCAACCACTTTTTCTCTTTTAATACATAAAAACAACAATATAGATTACTTTCGATAGATCTTAAGTGATAACATATCGTAATAATCGATTGAAAAATGTGTTGAAAATAAAAAATAGACGAGAGTAAGTACATATTGCACTTTAAGAGTTATCTTCAAATTGGGAGAACCAGAATTACAATTATTTACACGTATAACAGTAATACAGCAGCATCTAAGACAACAGACACAGGTACATTAACACAGATTTTACATTTGACACTTTGTACAGATAATGATAGGAAATATATAACAAGAAAAAAATAGATGTAAGAATCAATTTAATATTTTTTGGCTTCGTGTTTTTTTTATATTTTTTTATTGGCTAACACCAAGATGTTTATTTTGATTTCATTGTCCTGAGATTTTAAGTAAACTACAACACGCAGTTAAGTATATTTGCCAAAATGTAATGTTTTCTTGAGTTTGCAAAAGCGACATCTTGATATTGTACCAAACACCACTCTTTGCTGATTCTTACATCAAGTAACGCGTTTCAAAGTGTTTGTAAAATCCGAAAAAACAATAAAATTTTTCCAAAATAATATTTTTTTAAATCCCTTCAAGAGAATCACAGATTTACCATAAGACTGGGAGTACACAGGCGAATGATATTTATTTCTTATTTGATAGAACTAAAAAACTTAATGCCAATAATATAACCTCCAAAAATACAACAAGAGAAGTTTTTAAACAGACAGAATTATAAAACATGAAACAAGAACTTTCTACATTATACATAGTATAAAATATTGTTAAAAAAGTATATAATGAAATAAATAACATTCTAGCAGCATATTTACTATATATAAAACGAAATATAAAAATATATAAAATAAGGACAAATAGGTAGTATTTTTTTATCTCCGTAAACACCTCAATGCAACCAAAAATATTGCCCAAACATAAATTGCCATTCGTCTGCGTTCACCCGTTTTAACAAAATATTTCCAATATATACAGTACAGACAAAATTGGCCTATATATGCTCACGAAAACATTCCTTTTTAAAGGATTTAAAATAGGACTAATTTTAGAGGTAAGGTGGGTGGGTACTGATATGAACGTTTTTCTTTAACCAAACCAAAATAAATTAGGCGTGTCAAATTTTTAATAACCCTTATTTTAACCAAATTTGACATAACGGTCCTATGGCAAAGGCTAGAGTAAAACTATTTTTTTTGTGTTTAATGCGTGTGATGTATGTGAAGTGGTTTTACTACCAATCATTTGAATCGCAACAAGTTCATATGTCACACATTAACATATCAATTCTAAAAATACAGAAGACCTAGATAGCAGATACAACATACAATAGCTGTTTTATTTGGAAGAAAAAATAATAGAAATATTAAAAACTTGAATTAACGTCGCTTAATGCAGTGGTATAACTGAGAGATATAAATATATTAAATAAATATTTTGCAACTGAATTTTAGTCTTAGATTAAACTAAACATGTATTAAAATGTACTTTAATCAAGGTTAATAAAATGCCGTGCATAAATTTGTAATTAGTGCCCAGTGGATTTCTTTTTCATAAAAATGATTTTGTTTATAAATATAAATTTCGGAAGATTGCATGCATGTGCCATAAAGGCACAGACGTTGCTTAACGAGAAAGTATTGTGCCCAACAAATAATAAAATTCAATCAGTATAAAAAAAATACCCAAATCAGTATCCACCTTTGTATTAATAAATAGATGTCCCATGTGACCGGGTATCTCAAAACAACAAATAATTGTCCGTAGAAAAAATTGAAAATCTAAGGGCGTGGGCCTATAAAAACCTAGGTACGGGCGCGGAGGGTGCGAACGGTGGTCCGGCAGGGCACAGTCGGTATGCAGAACGTTGGGCGGTATGCGAACGAGGTAGCGGACCATCTCCCAAATCGAGGCGCAACTCCGAGGGCGCTGGTGGTGGTCCCAGCGACGCGGGCGCCATCGCCACATCAGGCAAGCGTCCATCAGGTGGCTCCACTAGACGCCGAGGCGGTGTTGCCAGACGCCTGCGGGCAGGACTGCGTCTTCCTGCTCCCGAGGCTTCCTCATTCTGAGCCCCAGCGCGGTACGCCTCCAATGCTTCGGCTACGTTATCAGGCAAATTAAATTCGCGAACGACTCTTAAACGGATTTGGCGGCCGATTTCGGCACGGCTCGCCAGCGGCATGGAAAGAGCGCGTTGACAGCCCGGAGCTTGACGCAGCTTCTGCTCGCGCTTTAGCATCGCGTTTAAGGCCGCTACGTCAGGTACTGGAGGAGCGCCGCCTAATACATCCACTCCCGATGGCCCGCCACGCGTTTCGACCATGTACAGGGTGTCGGGGATGTCTTGCGCGCAACGCACGCGCCTGCCTCGCAACATCTCTGCCTCCTGCACTAGCTGGTCTTCAACCAGCACTTTCAACTCGTCATAGTACGGCATAAATAAACGAGGCTGTACGAAGAGTCCGTTGTTCTTACCTCCGCGAATCCAGGCGTTTACGCGCAAATTTTCACGCTCACCGCCGATCATATGGCTAGGGGGCGTGCTGACCAGACCGCGACGAATTGCCTGACACAACACCTCACTGTTAGGAGGCAGCACGTGATCCATCCTCACCAACGGCAGTAAGTCCGATAATATTTCCCTCAACTCAATATCACTCAAGTCTCTCTTTTTCACTCCTTTCCTAGTTACAGAATGAGCCGTATGACTCACTACATTTGGTTCTGAAAAGATTCCTAGCATCAAAAAATATTTATTGACTATATTCAAATGACAAATGACAGATGCTCTCGGCTTACCCCTATCCTCCATTCGACGTATCAGCTCGTGTTCGCCCCACTTCAATACAGCCTGTAACACTTCTAGTTCGCTAGCTTGCAAAAACGGACTTTTTAAAACCTCTATTATATGCGCTTTATCCAACTGATGCAATACGGGCGACTGAGAAACAGGCTGGAATTCTTCTCTCAAAAAATGCAATGCCTAACAAAATTTGCAACTATTAATTTTTGAAAAGTATTTGGTCATACAGGATTAGTCATTCAGATGAAAATATTAATGTATGCCAAACAGTCCTTTAAGTCAAGTAAAATTTTGTTATTTCATACTAAACAACTTAACCTATATACCATTTACTAGAAACTTACCTGTCTATGTACCCAAGCTGATCCATGAGGCTGTCTAGCCCACTGAAGAACAGCAGGTAAAGTATCCATAGACAGTGCCTCTAAAATAAGATCTTCACAACCTTGGGCGAGTATATCAAGTTCTAAAAAGCGACCAATCTGATACAATTCCATAGCTTCCTCTAAAGGAGAAGGCCTTGCTCGCCCTGTATAAGCAAGGGCGTGAGCTTCGCCTAGCCCCCCACCACATCCACCTCTAGATATCAAACTTAAATCCACCTACAATCACTTACGGTATTAAACAAGAAATAGCAAGGCGAGTAGACAACAAACCTGATCTAAATAAACAGCATGTAATAAAACCCTAGCGTATCTCTTAGGAATGACGCCTTCATCCAATACAATTCTAATAGGTTGTCGTTCTTCTTGGTTTCTCGCTCGTCTAGCCAAAAGGGACCTAAAGAACGGAGAACGAGCTGCCAAAACGGCTCTATGACATGGAAGCTCTAGACGAGGTCTGAAACCATACTCTGATCCAGCCGAATCAGGTCGGGGGCCTAGTGGACCATCAGCTCCTTCAGTAAAGACCAATGCCGCATCAGCATGGTCCCCTGACTCTAAAAGGTACCGCAAATCAGCCTCTAAGGCGTTAGGAGTACCGAATTCTTCTCTCAAGCGTCGAAGGAGATTCATATCTATGTTTGCATTATGAGGACATATATCACCTAAAATATATCAGGTATAATCCAACACCCTCTGAACATTAACGTAAATATTTTACCGGTATATAAGTATCTGAGTAACGCCGAAAACAACTGTACGTCTACGGTGGCAGTACGAAGTTCTAAGCAAATCCTGGCACCATATCCTGGACATCCTGCTAGTAAGTCTCTAAAATACGGACATCTGGCTGACAGCAGCGCCCTGTGTATAGGAAAACACGCCCCTCGATAAACCAAATCCGCATCAGTGCAATATTTAAAATCGTATAGTGCAGATAAGTCTTGTTTGAACGTTGCAGCTGGAGGTCTAGCCAGTTCAGCTTGAACGCAGAGATCTTTTAAGGCAGCCAAAGCTTCGTACTCTTCCAACAGAGCGGCTACTTCTAGAGGACTCCAGTCTGATACCAATTCTCGTAAAACTCGTCCATGATCGCAAGCTTTCGAAGATCTAAAAGTGTCAGTGAGAAACATGCATGCAAACTTTCATATACCACATCACAATCCAGAGCCAGATTAAATAGACAAGTTCAGCAAAAATCAGTCTAGGACAATTATTGGTTTTCATTCATTATTTAGTTAACATGTAAGGTCATAAAGAGCAGGAATATTTTTACCACATAATTATTTATATTATCATTTTCGAGTTTGTTTTCAAGTTTCGATGTCGAATATAAACTTTGTAATAAAAACAGTGTTTATAATTTCTATTATGGAATTTCTTATTTTCTTCACCTTGTACATTCAAAACAAATTTAAAATTCTGGTGTATGTTAACATATTCTAAAATTATTGCATCTACCATTGTTTCATAATTCTATAAACAAATAAGATAGTAACCACTAACATAATTTATCAGAGTGCCTACTGTGCAAATTTAATTCGACCCTATCAAGATCCAAATTGATATTACCTGCGCCTACGAATGAACTTTTTCTTCAGAGTGGCAAATCCAGTGACGCGTTTCTTCTTTTCCCTAGGCCCAAGAGGCTCGAGTCCGGGAGGGAGTCCCAGGCCTTGATTCAGTCCAAGCCCTGCGCCCCCCTCGATCCCTTGCGACGCCGACGCGCTGGCCCCCATCCGCTCTGACATGCAGCGCTCACTCTCTAGGGCGCTCCTCCAGCTTGACTGTGGGGCGCACGGAAATAAACAACTAAATATACTCATCGCGTTCCGCCGCTAAATGCGCGGACATCCTCTACGGGAAAACAAAAACAATTTGATATAAATTATAGCACATCCAAAAAAACCACCACCTAGAGAACTAACAATATGTTAAGAATGTCTAAAAACACCTGGAATTCTTTCACACAACATATGTAGGAATGATCTAGGATTATCTCAACAATCCTAGGATTGTTTAAGGATACCTAGGATTATATGAAGATACACACAATTGAAGAAATAAGTAGTAGAAATAGGTAGTAAAAATATGCAGGCCTAGGATACTCTCAATAAGCCTAGGATTTGATGAATACACTCAGGATTGTTTTAGGATAGCTAGGATTACAGGAAGAAAATAAAAGAAAAACCAAAAAAGTTTGATATAAATTATAGCACGTCCAAAAGAAACAATCACCTAAAGAACTAACATTGTTAAGAATGTCTCAATATACATAGGAATGATATAACAGGTCTAGGATGATCTCAACAAGCCTGGGATTGTTTAAGGATACCTAGGATACATATCATATGAAGATACGCACATTAGAAGAAATATGTAGGCCTAGAATACTCTCAATAAGCGTAGGATTTGATGAATATACTCAGGATTGTTTAGGATAGCTAGGATTACAGAAAAAATAATATAAGAAATATGTAGAAACTCAGAACTAAATAACACAGTATAGGAGTAACCTACAAAACTAAGATTAATTAAATGAACAAAGAAATTTTATAATTTTAGATACCTAGGATTGCATCAACAAGCCTACTATTACATAAGGATACTTGGGACATTTAGGAAGATTACATCAATATAGACAATGAAAGATTTTTTTTATATTCCTAGGATTGTCTCACACATACCTATTTACATGAATTTTCAATATGCTTAGGATACTATCAACAAGCCTAGGATTAGATTAAGACATTCATGATTGGATTAGGATTAGGAAATGTTAAGTATGATTCAACACCCTCATGATAGTCTCAAAGATCTAGTATTTTTTAATAGGCCTCTAGTATTTTTTAATAGCCTCAACAAGCCTAGGGTTACATTAACATCCTCAGGATTGTTTTAGAATGCCTAGAAGATGAAGATAAAAGAAAGTCAGAATTGAATGAAGTAGCTTATAATTGTCTAATCATAGTGCTTTTATAGGGATCACCTATTAAATTCAGATTAGTTGAACAAAAAGAAATATAGGATTACCTAATTGAATATACCAGGGATTGTTTTACTTGACTTAGGGGTGTGAAGGATTATATGAAAATAGTGAGGGTTGTTTAATAAACAGGTCAGAATTGTACGAAGGACCTCACAATAATACAAAGAAAAATAACTATAGATATATCTAGCTTTTCAACAAGAACTAAAGTACATAAGACCTACAAATTCAAATCACATAGAAAATAGATACTTTTGAAAATACAGTAGGTATCAAAAATTTCTGAATGTGATTATTTTAATATTATCAGGAGAAAAAAGTATAACAGCTGTAAAAAATTATTTATATTATGTGGAAGTTCTTTCAACAGATATTGTAATATCAAGTTATTACCATACCTGTTAACTATATCTTAAGGACAAACTCATTCGATAATTGCTATTATATTTATTAGTGTTCCTACACTAATATTAGTACAAATATTGCTATTATATTTAAATAATTACAATTATTTTCATAGGAAAACCAGAATTAGAGTTTAAATATGCTTTATGCATTTAAAAAAATAATTAATATTTTTGATGCAAATATAGGTCAATCCTAAATTAAAGATACCTCTGCACTCAATTTAAAAAATACAACTACAAGGACTAGAAACATACTAAGGATTATTTAATGTATACCCAACATATACCTTATATGACATACTGCTAATCTATCGAATACTTTCTTGGATTTTAAAGATATACAACATATCTATTAAAATATAACAATTTACAAGAACAATACGAATGACATGCCTGTGAAATATGATCTTTTAATATGTAGAGAATATTACTTACATCATGCTAGTGTTAAAAATATATCTGAATTAATAATACAAGACATTGCAATACAATAATGAGTAAAAACAGATATTCAGCAGGCAAAGCTAAATGTCATCTTCTAATTAGGACACATGCAAATAGGGCTGAGGGAATCATTCTAGCATTACATGAAATGTAATATAATAAAAGGAAGCTTGAAATATATGTTTACTCGCTGCCTAATTAACATCAGCCAACATACACTTTGTAAACACTGCCTACTATGACAGCAGAACCCTTGCCCTTTTCATATGAAAGATTACTACAATAATACTGAGCAGATTGGTAAACATAAATATACCTGGTCGTTGTGGAATCATCTTTATTTTAGAGATTTTCCTGTTCTTCCAAGCAATATTCATCACTTTTAATTTTTAAAAAATTGAATAGTAGCCATGTTTAAGTTATACGGACGAAAAACAATGTTTTGTGTTCCACATAGAACCAAGTTTCTTACGACTGCACTTTAATTTGATACAGATTCACATTTAAACAACATATTAATTTGAATAATAGGTTTATAGAGCCTCAATATCTGCCCTCAAAAACAAATTGAAATTCGATAACAGTGTCAACCAATACTCCAGCTTTCAAGTCCCGAGAAAACAAGGTTCGACGTACTACAAACTTCATTTCACCTACTGGAGTGTCAGATTCCAGTGCCACTAATCAATTAATTTACACACTGGCCGTTTTAAAAAATCCTTATAACAATACACTAACAAGACAATATTTTTGAACTATTTTATCGAATTATATATTTTTAACGCTTTTTTAAAGTAATGTAAATAGAAAATCACATGGAAATTGTTTTTACATCTGAAAGATTGTATAAAGAACAGAAAACTTCCGTATGTCGTAGTATAATCGATACTATCTAGGTCTCTGTCTTAACCTGAATTCTGAAACGCGCCATCTATCAGCCTTTCCAAAAACCCAGCACAAAGAAAATCCATCAAAAGAAAAATACCAATATTTAATTATTCACAATTTATTTTACATTTATATAAGCCTCACAAAATTGCACTGAACATTAAACACTTATCCATACATCTATACAATATAAACAAAACAGTTATTAAACAAAAAAAATTCTATTTTAAGTGTTCTGGTAAATTATATGCTGGATCTGAATAATCATCAGAGTCAGTTTCAGAGTCTGTAGAATATTCCGAACTAGAAGAATCATCAGACGTGTCTTCGGATGATGTATATTCAGAATCGTCACTATCTCTTTCCACATCTAATTTCATCGCAGCAAATTTCTCATGTAATTTAAAATCATTTTCAATTTCTTGTAGATTGAGTCCAAGATCTTCTTTCCTAATTTCAAGTTTTAATGTTTCCTGTACTAAAGATTGCCATAAATCTTTATGCCATTTCATAATGTATGTTATATAATCTCTAATAAATAAATTGTTCAATATATAACGGCAACAATCACCCTTCAAAAATATTTGGTGGATGTCTATTAAAATTCTTATAATATACCTTTCATCTAAACTAATAATATGTTTCAGGTCTTCAAACACTTTCTGACTTAAATTAAAATTTCGGTATAAAGGGTAAATGACACTACGTCTAAACGAAGTGGTTAATGCTTCTTTGGGTGAATCAAAAACATCAAGCCAGTTTAATGTGGCTGCAAGTTTAACAATGGTCCAGCCAGATTCTATATTCTTCTCAAAACATGTAGATCTTTGGTCATAACAATATGCAAATAATATATCAAGGAGGCCATTCATACAATAGTTATTTTGTTCTTCACTTATACAGTATTGTATGTTTGGAAGATCCTTTAAGAAATCTAATTCATGATCAGTAAAACTAAAATCTGATTTACTTAACCGAGCCCAAGGAGACTGCAATGCAATTATCTCGTTTATTTCAGCATCTTCACTAAAATCCGCTATATAATGATCTACATTGAATTTCCCTTGTTCATACTGTATTCTAAGTTTACGCCTTTCTAGTAGCGCAACCTGACAAGGGTCTATTTCAAAAACATCATCAAACATTGAACTGATCTTGACAAAATCTTTCCTGGCTCTTAAAGCAAATCCAAATCCATAGTTCAAGTTAGTTCTGTCGATATTATCATTGTTAAGATGGTCTTCACAGTTATTTATATTAACATCGTTATCATTGACGTTTTCAGACAGCACTTCTATATTAATAGTACCTTCATTTAATTGAGCTTCCACTTTCGGTACTAATAATTTTGTAATAAGATCAAGATCTTTAAAATGTTCACCTGGATTCTGCTTGGGACACGTAAAAGAAAACTCTCCTAAATCGGTATCAAATGAAGTTTTCATCCGCTCATTTTCTATTATGTTTCCTGGTAAAATTAATCTTAGATAATACGGTTTACAAGAGAAAAGGAATACGTTTTCATCAACATATATATCCAATTCACGTAAATTGGAGTAAGGGGCACGAATATTAATGAAAACAAAGTTATCATCTTGAGTTAGTTTAAATCGTGGAGTTATCATTTTCTTTTGCCACCTAATATTTTTACTTTTCAGCTTTAATTTCAAAACACAGTTTCAAAATAAATCACAGAAATAAATGAACAGTATATAAGGTTATGTTCACAGTTATGTTACATTGATCTGTATTTGGTTTGGTTTTAGGTTTTAGTTACAGAAATCTTTATCTAGCCGTCCGCATAGCCTGTGGCTCCTGTGGCATAGACGTCCGTTTTTATTAAAATGAAAGTGAAAAAACCGTAAATTCAAAATATTTAAAAAGCTAAAGATCGCTAACTATACAGATCTTGATTTAAAACTACATGTAATGAGATCATTACAGTAATTTAAACCCTATAGATACTTTTTTTTCTGATTTTCTCATTTAATTGACATGCAATATTTTATTTATAAAATTTTCTTCACTTACCACAGTTACCTGCATTCTTAACTCCATATCCACTAGCTGTTTTATGAAGAAGACATCCGTAAGAAAAAAAGCCTTGTAGGAATACTATAAATAATTAAAATCATATATATTAAACAAAGCCCTGTTAAAAAATGTACAAAGCTATAGCTATATTAGTTGATAGATATTTTAAATAAGACCTACTTACCATTATTATTAATATTTTATAGTCGGCGTTACTTTGCGAACTCTGTGCAAAAAAGGGCGTCCATATACATATACTTTAGTTGAATATTTCCAAAACTTACAATAGAGTACACCAAGTTACACTAAAACAATGAAATATATCAATAACATATTTATCGTCTCATTTAATTCACAGTTTATTTAAGAAAAAAACATTTAATAATAGTGAATATAGGTTGTTAATAAAAAAATTGATTTACCAAAAATAATCTTATGATTAACGTTTTCTAAATAATAGATTATCGCAGTGTTATTGTTATAAAATGTTATGAGACAATACACATGAAAATAATGCACACTTACCAATTGCCAATTAGTTATAATTTATAACCAGCTAATTTCTCACTTTTCGTTAGATGACCGCTCTAGACAAAATGGTCGTAGTACCCCGATGTCTAGATTTTTATTCTATTTCGGTATTACATAGTTTAGCAAAAGATTCTAAAACGAAATAATAAATAGAAAAATATATTCTTCGTATTTAAGTATATGTTTCCGATAATAAAAATAGTTTATTATACCTGAACAGTTTAAACTTTCAACTGCGAACTTTAAAACTAACACAAATGCTACACCTACCTTAAATTATAAAACCTGGAAGACCCGGAACCTGAGATTAAACAAGCAGAGGTCACAAAATCGTACGAAGCCATTGTATTGAATATTTTATTTCAGTTTCAAGAGACCAGGATAAGTTTAAACATGTTTAAATCAAACATCAAAGACAATACAAATTCCCGCTCAGAAATGTGACAGGCAGATCCCGTTGGAGACAGCAATGTTGTCAGATTTTTAATTTACAGGCAGCTTATTTCCTATTAATATAATAATTTTATTTACATTAAATACTATGTTTTTTATTTACATTAAATACTATGTTTAAATGCTTAAATATCGTAATACCAATCAGTATAATTTGATGCTTTTATTTTAATATTACTCATTGTACAGAGAAAATTACTTTGTTTATTAAGAATCCAACTAATGTCTATTTATGCAACCAGAGATACAACCTCTTATAGAGGGTGTTTCGAAAACGAGTTAAAATAATTTGGAATTAAATCTGAAATGAAATCAATAATAAAAGACACAGTATTTTATTTTAAAAAAATTGTACATATACAAAAATATAAACGAGGCTATACGGTACAGTAACAAACATTTTGTATGCATGGTCTAAAAATAAACATTATAATAATTATACTTTAGGATACCAACCATACATTAAATAATCATCAGTTTGTGTTGCCTTATCGCACTGAATTCTAATTCTTTCACACCCGTATAATGTACTAACGGACTTAACAATTTTAAAGGTAGCTAAACCTGATTGTGTAGCAGACACTCTAGGTGCTATTTCGTTGCCAGAAAGTTGTCTTATAGGCTTACGACATTTAATATCACTAAACTTAAACCTTTTTAGACGTGGTTCTTCTAAAACTTCGTTAGAATCGGAATCAGAGTGTTGTCTTTTAAACGAAGCAGAATTTGATTGATGTAAATCCTGTTGACTTGAATTTTTAAATCCACCAAAAACGCTTTTTACTATATTTGTCATTGATGTCCATAAACTGGATTCTGTCATGGAGCTAACAGATATCTGTGATTCTGTATGAGGTTTTATGTTTGAAATATCATCTTCTTGGCTTTCGTGGTGATCTAAGTTTGTACTAGTTGAAAAATTATCAATTTCGTTTGTTGAAGTTGATTCGATCATTGGTAAAGCAGCAAAATTTCGACCGAGTTTAGAACTTTCCCCCATTTTTCTCTGTACAATCTGAAATAACTTTCCCTGTGGCGTTTTAAATGGAGTTTGGCATGATAAAACTTTGGTTGATATCTCCTCAACTATTTTTGTATGCCTTATTTTTACTTCGCTATTAGCCACTATGGGAGTAGATGAAAGATGTGCTGGAAATTGAAAGTTCATCTGAAGATTAGTTCTCTTGATGATGGGACTTGGCATAACAATACTGACTCTTCTATTAGTTTGCCTTGAGGGCGATTGCATGTTTACATTATTTTCTTTTTCTAAATTTAATTCAGATTTATTTTTTTGGTCAGTTTGTCCAGATAAGTTGCTGGTTTGTTCTAAATTTGTTGCACTCAGCCACATAGTTTCATGCTGCTCTTCAGTCTCATAAACATTTTTATCAGAAAGAGGTTTACACAGACCCATGGATGTTCCTTTAAGATTGTCTGCATGCTGTTGTTCAGTCTCATAAATATCTTGCTGGGAATCAGGTGTACTCAGAACTATACAAGCTTTTTTATGGTTGTCTGCATTGTGCTTCTTATGTATATCTTCCTCAGAATAAACATCTGTAATTTCTTTGGTGTTTTCTATTATAGGAGACATGTCCTTCTCTGGATGTTTTCGAATGCTTCCTCTAGTTTTAGAAACCTCTGTAAAGAATAATAATATATTAGTCTACGAAATATTTTTTTAAACTAAAATATAAATAGGTACCTGGTGTACACAGAACCATAGACATTTCATTTAAGTTGTTTTCACCTTTTGTGTATGTTCCATTATTACTTATTTCAGGTGATATTTCATTATTAAACTCCTTAGAAATTTGTCCCTTTACCATTTTTTGTGAATTTCGAATAGCCACTAAAAATATTTAATTTCCATACGCTATTTTATCACTAATAAATATTTAAATACCTGGTGTAAAACCTTCGAGTTTAGTATTTTGTGACTGTTTGTTGTTAATTTTAGAGGAACCTTCTACACTGACAAATTGCTCAGATTTCGCACTGTAAAATAAATCGCTTTTTGCGTTTACAATACCTAAAAGATTCATATAATTAATTGTCAATTATTTATCTTATTTTTCTCTGTTACTTGGCGTTAAAATATCCTGGCTATTATCTAACTGTTCGGCATTTTCTAGTTGAATATGTTTGGCGCTTGAATCAATTGGTATAAAATGTGATTGATTACTACTTGTATTTGGACTTCCCGATATGAGTCCTAAAACGAAAATAAAAATTAATTTAGGTTTTAATTAATTACTTAAAATAGATGCCTGGTGAAAATTCTTTTGTATTTTGTTTGATGGGTTTATCAATGCAACATAAAATTATTAAACTATTTTTAAGTATAACAAAGAAATTAAAATATAATTTATACCTGATTTTGTCTCTTCAGAATTGTGTTTGGGTGTTTGACCAAAAGTAACTCTTCTCTTAGAAGAGTGCTGAGATTTGATGGAATCCGTTTTTTTGATAATACTTTTATTTTTTATCATAGAACATAGATCAACAGGTGTTAGGGGCTCCCTACTTTTTTCAAACGAATTAATTTCATTTCCTTTTTGCATGGGTGTGCTAGTGGCTAAATTAAAAACATATTTTAAATGCTCTTTTCCTTGAAACTCTTGCAAAATTGGGCTCTGGTTATCTTCGACTTGGAGCGATGGAATATCCGCAAATGGTGTTTTAGGGGAATCTTCTTTAAAAGGAAGCACAGAACATTTCCTATGCTGCAGAATATCCTCAACGCACTTAAATATTTTCGTACAGTAGTTACAATACAATGGCAAATGGGTAGTTTCTAAATGTTTGAGTAATAAATCATCTATATTTCCATATGAAAATACCCCATAAACACAAATATCGCAGGAAGGAAATATATTGTGAACGTTTGTTTCGTGTTTTATGCGACAGTTCTCACAGCAAAATGCTTTTTCACATAAACGACAATTGTTCTAAAAATAAATAGAAAATAAATGTCGTCATTTAATTATAAAAATATGTAATATAGATTAATGAAAACTCACGGCTTCGTATCCTCGCATATTTTTAATTCACCCGCCACTTCTTTCTATTGATTTTGCGCGGTTCTTTGCTCATCCATTCTGCACATATGTTTTTTTACTGTCAAAATTATTATTTTTTTAAAATTGATATGTATATAAAAATTAATTTAATAAAATTGTATTAAGTGTTAAGCAGAAAATAACAGGAAGAAATTAATTTTAAATTGTGTAAATACCTACTTGCATAATTGTAATTTAGTATTCAAAAATGAAGAGCTTTGTTTTGTAAACAATATCACCGGCAAGCCTAAATTATTTTAGAAATACCACCAGATGTATTAAAGGGCCAGAAAATACTACTTTTTAGAGAAATATGAGTGGAGCAGTGTATGGTGGAGGTTAGTACACACGTTGTTTTGAACAATTTCTTTAAACTTATAACCTGTCCATTTTTTGTTTGAAATATCATTCTATAAAAAAGAGCAATAAAAATAAACTTGTATTTTGTCAAATTCAGATGAAGTCGGGGCCTTGGTCTTTGACATAGGTCATAACAGTGTAAGAGCAGGATATGCAGGAGAAGACAGTCCAAAAGTTGATATACCAACAACTGTGGGAGTGTGGCTCGACTCTGAAGATGAAGTATCTGTTCCTGTTACTCATTATAACATTGGATTATGTGCTATACATGTGTGGAGACCAGGTACTATGTAAATTTTTTTTTACTGTAGTTATTTTAATATCATATTTATTTTTATAGAGATGGAACTTAGCAGTTTCCTGAAAGATGGGATGGTTGAAAATTGGGATATGTTTGAAAATTTTCTTGATTATATCTATTATTCAGCGTTAAAGGCTGTGCCAAGAGATCACCCAATATTATTAACAGAGCCTCCATGGATTACACCACCTAAAAGGGAAGAGATGGCTGAACTAATGTTTGAAAAATACGGAGTTCCTGCTGCGTACCTTGCTAAAAATGCTAGTTTGGCTGCCTTTGCAAATGGTAGGCCTACATGCTTAGTCCTTGACAGTGGAGCCACTCACACTTCTGCTGTTCCAGTTCATGATGGGTAGGGAATATTAAAATAAAGTTCTTTTTTTTAGTAATATATTCATTTAATTTATAGGTATGTTTTAACACAGGCTGTTGTCAAATCACCAGTTGGTGGAGATTACCTTAGCGAGCAATGTAGAATTTATTTACAAGAGAGAGGTATTGAACTGGTTCCTCCTAGTTTTGTTGCCTCTAAGGAAATAGGGAGACCTGAAGACTTGCCAAATTGGCAAAGACGTGATGTTCCTTATAATTTGACTGATTCTTGGTTTGCCTACATGATCAGGGTATGTTATTAATCAATTTCTAAACACTATACAATCATACGATGTCTTCTTGTACTTTAGGAAGTGATGCAAGACTTTCAAGCAACTGTTTTACAAGTTTCTGATAGTTCTTACGATGAAGAAATTGTAAAGACTATGCCTACTACTCATTATGAATTTTCAAATGGATTTCATAAAGATTTTGGTGTAGAAAGATTCAAAATTCCTGAACCTTTGTTTAACCCAACTAATGGAGCTAAAGCTGGTATTCAGCCCATTCTTGGTGTTGGATCTTTGGTTACAACAAGTGTAGGAATGTGTGATATTGATATTAGACCAGTAAGACAAAGATTGTACATTTAATAACGTGTATGACACTTACATTTTTTTCAGGCAATGTATGGAAGTGTAGTTGTTACTGGCGGATGTTCTAGTCTTCAGGGCTTCACTGAAAGACTTAACAGGGATCTGGCAGCAAAAACACCTCCAGTAATATTTTGTGGATTTATTTAATGAGAGTATTATACTATTATATGCTTCTCTATTTCAGAGTATGCGCCTCAAGGTTATTAGTGCCCCAGGAGCTTCAGAAAGAAGATTTGGTGCCTGGACAGGTGGTTCAATTTTAAGTTCTCTAGGTTCATTCCAGCAAATGTGGGTATCGAAGCAGGAATATGAAGAAGGTGGGAAAGCAGTGGTACAAACGAAATGCTTTTAATTTTATCTAATGACTGATTTTAATTTTTTGTTCTCCTAGTATTATTTTCATATGAAGGATTTTCTTACAGTTATTATGATAGTTTATTTCTTAATGTAACTTCTAAAGAAGAATTTCCTGCCAACAAAAAAAAATTGACTTTTTTATAATCTCTTTTAGAATCTCTATAATTTTTGACAATAATTTAAGACGTTTCAATTAATTAGTACATTTTTTATACATTACCGAATAATTTTATTAACAAAAGTACTTCATCTGTACTTCCTATAGCAGGAAAATTTTATTTCTGAGTAAATCTGAAGTAGACAGAAATTCTGAGTAAAATAATCGAAAAATGTATAAAAGAAGGTGAAAAAGAATATCTTTCAATATTTTTCTCATTAAATAAAAAAGAATAAAAGTAAGGAAATTCTATCTTAAAAAATATTTTGTGACAATAATTTTGTATCTTGTAGCTTTTGTAATATTTATTACACGAGTATATTTTAGTTAGTTATTTTATGTCTTAATATTTTATGATTATGATATACGTTTACTTATACAGAGTGTCCCAAAAAAATCGTAAACAATGGGAATTTTTTTATCGAGGTATTGAAAAAGACCTTTTTTCAATAACAAAACCATTAAACTAATCCCTTCTGTAACGAACTTTATGGCACACTCTTTATATTTGCACAGATCTTGATAGACTAGAAATTCAACTGTATTATATCCAAAAATTAAGACTGATGGATTTAATTTCAGCAGAATGAAATCTGCCTAAAAAATAATGTTGAGATTATGTTTTAAATATTTTTTGCTGGCCAGTAATAGTTTAAAGCTTAAAGCTGAAACTAAGTTAGGTAGATTATGTGTTTCTGTATTATATTTGTTGTTCTGTTTAGTATTATCAGTAATTTTGTGATTTCATAAAATGTGGTAAACGAATCAAAGTCTTGTTCGTGGTTACACTAAAAAAATTCAATGTTCTGACGGTTGGAATATACAGAGTGCCCCAAAATGTTCTCAACAAATGGAATTCAATAATAATACTGCACTGAACTTTTTGGTACACCCTGTAGACATAACTAGAAACAAATATTATCAGAATTTTGTTTCCACTGCTTTTGAGCAGTATTATTTATTATTTTTGTGCTTTGAGCACGATATTTTGTTTTATTTTTTTATCAAGATACTGTCCCAGTTTGTAGAATAGTGATTATTGAAATTAGAAACTAGTCATTTTAACGGTAAATACTCGTCTAAAAATTACTGATCTCAAAATTTCGTTCTTTCGTGTGATAATTTCCCGTTTGCAATATTGAATTTAATGTTCCTATTTATGTGTTGCCATATTTTATTTTCTTTTGCACATGCAGCTGTATGTGTCATTTTATTATTGTAACTCATTATGTGCCAATAAAGGAATATCTTACAGATGTTTGTGTGTTCTTTACGTCTACCGTTTACACAACGTTTTACCAAAAGGTTTTACCTAGCAGCGGCCTAGCGCGGCGTCAATACAAGGGGATGTCATAAGTAACTGCAATTAACATTTTACCATCATAATAAAGTTTTTTCTTTTTTTCTATAGCAACTGTTAAAATAGCCTTATATCTATCAAAAATAGTAGATAAAATAGTACTTTAACCTCAAGGGTAGATTAAATAATACAAGGATAATACTTTAACAGCGAGGATAGGTTAAAATCTTTATTTCTTCTCGCACGTTTTTTAATTGCTTCCATTTTTGAAAAAAATTGCATTCCTTTTCATAAGTTATTCGGGATTTAAATGGAAGTAGTTTGGATATAGCGTTTGTCGCCTCAGCCTGAATATCTGTTGGTAATTTACTTATTTCGTTTTGAGCCATTTCTGGCTCCAATTCAATTAGTAATCGACACGAAAGAGAATTAAAAAATATTGACTCAAAACTGACAACTAAAGAGACAGCTTTATTTATTTGTCAAATTAAATAGAAACCAACGCCAACCCAGCACAATATTTTTTCTACTCGTAATAAATTCCTTGAAATAATAATTTCTGAATATTTTTTAAAACGTAACCTCGCTATGGAAAAAAATATTGTTTTATACACGACCAAAAAATTGCATTATCATCTTGTATAAAAAATAACTATTTTTAAAATCTTCAATTTTGAAGTTACAAAAATAAAATATAGAAAAAATGTAACAGGTTAAAAATGTTTTTTTTTTAGTTAGTTTATTTAAAATAAAACATCATATTCTAAATAAAAAAAATCTTGACTGAATAAATACAATAACATATAGGTATAACATTAAAAAAATCAGATATATTTAAGTCCTTGTTTTATCTTCCTGGTAAAGGAATATTGCAAATGGCATTGTGTGCTAAAATAGCAAAAATACCCGCCAAAGAAATCCCAGCACTATCTGCAAAACCTGTAATAGCCATTGAAAACTGTTTGTTTTCCGGAGCAACCTAAAAATGAATCTAGATATATTAGCAGCAACTATATTTTCAAATCATATATTGTTATATGTTAGATTTAGCAATGAGCTATCGAACTCTACCCTAAGACCTTACCTCATTAGTAATTCTGTAGTATGTGTTCACGTATGAGGATCCTCCAAGCAGGCCTTCCCACAAAACCAAGGCCACAACTATGTAGAAACTTGGAATATAATAATAAATAGCTTCTGTCGTAAAAATGATTACGTTAATACCCTACAAATATGTTCTTTTTGTAAATATATGTTTCGTAATATGCGTTATTATTTTAGGTATATATCTACCTGGAAAACTGCCATAATCCATGTCTGTTTTATATGCCAGAAATTAACGGAAGATCTAGATATAAAGACTCCCACTTGATAAGTGACCTGTAGCCATCGATATTGGGAACTAGTTGATAGCCAGAAATTTTCAAACTGAATTATTTCAAACTGAAATTTTAGATAAAAAATAATTGATCGGTACTCTTATATTATACCACTTACAGTTCCTTGGTTAATAAAATATTCAAAGAGGTAAACTAGTCCAAAAGGTATCATGTATTTCAAAAGTCCAGGGATAAGTTTAAGCTTTCTAATGATGGTTTCCTTTGGATTTGTCAGTTCTTCTTCGTTGACTTTCCTCTGGATCTCTAAGGCTAGAGCGATGTCATCTTTAGATGGTTTTGGGAGTATGATCCAGAATCTGTAATATTCAGAAAATCACTTTCTCATGTACGTGTTTCTCTTCTTATACGATTTTCTTATAAAATGTTCTTCTATAAAGCCAAAATAGCAAGACCTCACATTACATACGTAAAAAAAGAGAATTAGAGATACTTACGAAATGCACATTAACGCTGGTATTACAAGCATTATTAGTAATGTAGTCTGCAAGCCTAGTTGCTGTAATAATGCATATGATAGAGATCCTATTACACCCGCTCCTCCTGTTCCAGAACTCCAAGAAGAGATCACAGTCCTAATAAAAGAAATTGATTTTACATTCTAGACCCATATTGAGTGATTTGAATACTCACTTATGATAAAAAGAGCTGTATTGGAGATAAGTTACTTCACCCAATCCAGAACTAAAAGATGTTAGAACAACACCTAAGATAGATATAAATATGGTGCCTCCAAAAGCTACAGCGAGAAAACCAGCCGCAGCGAGAATCACACATAAAATTACTCTTATACTAAAACATTCTTTCGTTAGTTCTGTTAAATAACTATTAATTTTAGTCTTACTGTACGAAAAATGGTATAAATGGAGCCAGGGACTTTGCTATCAACCCTGGAAGTATATCTGCCAGTAGAATTGCCCCAGTCGACATATAAGTACAGTTTTCTCTTACTTTACTTTTACTCTAAAAACAAAAATACGTCAGATTTTTTAGTTCATTATGATAAAGTTAATTTTAATTGTCATGAATTAAAATCTATGCTAAACAGACATTATTTTAAATTAAGATGTTAGTTGATTTAAAACGTTTTAGCAAGTATGATTAAATTCAATTGATTGCTGGAATATATTTACAACAGATGTTTTTTAAGTACTTGTATTTTTAAATATTCAAATGTAGTTGTTAGTTCAAAAAAATATCCGAAAATAAAGTAGATTTAAGTATTTATTGAAATACCAAAAATCATAAATAAATTGTCATGGATGGACTATACCTATACGTACATTAGCCTCGCTACTTTCACCAATTATATCACTGGCAGCTGTTAGCATGACCACATATCCATAATTGTTACAAAGGCCTAAGATCCAGTATGCTACAAGAGATCTGTAGCACCTTGTTCTTGGTGTTGCTTCTGCTGAAAGCTCCTCTTTGGATAGGACAGTGGTGGAAGTATCACAATTCGACATGTTTGTTAGTTTTTAATAAATATTCCTATTATTTAATGAGATCTACTAGAACATTGGTTTGGCTTTTGAGAATCCTTAATACGGCAAACAACCTGAAAGAAAAGGATAATGCATATACTCGTAATAGAAACAATTAAAATGATATTTTTCTATTATTAAAATTATATATACAGGCTGTCCCAGAAATAAGTGCAAGTATTTTAACTGGGAGTATCCTAGAAACACGCCTTTTTTTTTGGAAAATTCGGAATTTTTTGAAAATTTTTTTGGATTTTTTTTTAGTTTTTAGTTAAAAAACATAATTTCTTGATAATATGGCAACATAGGTAGTAGATTAAATTTACAAGAAAGAAAATCCAGAAAAGATCCAGTGGTTCTCAAAATTTTAGCAAATTTTTTTTTTTGGAAATTTTCAAAGTAAAATAACTTCGTTATTTTGGACTTATTTGAAAAACGATAAAGAGAAAATATATTTCTTTTATCGGGATCTACCACCCCTGAGAATACTTGCACTTACTTCTGAGACATAATGTATATAAAATTATTATTAAATTTAGCAACTGGTAAACAGTTGGTAATAGGTCTTTCAATGATTATTACAGTTGAGGGTTGGAACCTTTGGTGTTACACAGCAAAATAAAAACACTAAATCACCACAATACACCAAAACACTTTTACTTTTACACTGGACGCGCGTTTCGCTAACCATGTTAGTTTCAATCAGTTTATAATCATCTGCTGATGATGCTAACATGGTTAGCGAAACGCGCGTCCAGTGTAAAAGTAAAAGTGTTTTGGTGTATTGTGGTGATTTAGTGTTTTTATTTTGCTGTTTCATTCACAATAACAACAGTTAAGAAAATAATCAAATTCAAAATTCAAACAGCACCTAGATTTATATAGGGTATTTGAAAACATACCATCTCCCGTGGTGAGATTCCTCACGTATAAATAAGATTTATTTTTTTTATATATCGGTCCGATTCTGCTTTGTTTCGTATAGTTACAGGGGGTTAAAATCTTATTTTCTTTTCGATTTATTATAATTTTTTGCCAATACCGATTTGAATGAAATTTTTGAGGGTAAAAGTTACTATAAATGCGACACATTTTAGTGTTAAAAAAGTGTCGACGAAAAGTCTGTCAAACACCAATATATTTTTTAAGTTTAGTTTGGAGACAAGACAAATATAGAAGTTAAATTACGTGGAGAAACTTCCATTGGTACTGTCTCTTAGTGAGTTTAGCCCATGCAAATATGTCATAAACCGACCAAGTACAGTACCAACATGAAAGGAACAAAATAAACCAAAAATAATAAAGTTGGTTTTAATAGATATTAAATTTGCCTTATTTTGGACCGTTTTTTATGCTCTGTAATTTAATCAAGCGAATATTAATATTCAAGGCAATAAAAATTAGTCCTCATATATAGGAATACGGAGTTTGAGTGACATTTATATAAACCCGTGCGAGGATTTGAGTGAAAATATAATTGACTTATCGAATATGCAAAGAGAATGAACTGGACATGGAATTGCCATTAAGCACATGGGCTATTTATGAACTTACGGTTAGGATTAAATTTTAAATATTGTCAAAAATAGAGGCGCATCTGCATATACAGATTTTACACATCACAACACAAATACATTTTTGTATATATTATTTTATTATTCAATAGTTTACTGTATATTTCTGTAGGTACCACACTATACTAAAGTTTTCAAAATAAAATGACGATATTTATAAGATTGTTTCATACATATATAAATGTTTATGTTTGCGTTTACATCAAATAACCAATAAGGTGATTCATTTATCTTTAGTATAGTAGTATAGTTCATCTTAAAAGAAAATCTTTATTTGTCTAACTAATACAATACATTAAGCAATATTTATGGAAAACATACGGGGTGTAGAGTGTAGAAAAATAGAATATAATATCTGGATAATACAATACTGATAATTAGAGCTACATCAAATTTTTGTTTTTCATTAAAATTATTGCAACGCAAAGAAATAGTACAAACATTTCCAAAGAATATTAAAAAAATGTCAAATAAACATTGAGAATCGCGAAAATATTTGAACGTACCTATACAAAAAATATTGTATAAATTTATATAGAGCGTTGTGGATATGTGTATAGAATCCTAGCTATATATTCTATAATTATTTATTTTTATACTTTATAAAATGTATATACAGGGTGTTTCAAAAATATGTGCCATCTCTCGTGGGGAGATTCCTCATGTAAAAATAAGATTTATTTTTTATATCGACACAGGTCCGATTCTGCTTTGTTTCGTAGCTACAGGATGTTAAATATTTCAGCGATTTGAATGAAATTTTGAGGGTAAAAGTGACTATAAGTGCAACATATTTTAATGCAAAAAAAGTGTTGACATATTCACCAGGGACATATGCATATGGGAAGGATATGGGTTATCCTGGAATATTTTTTTAAAATTAATGGGCTACTGACTTTTTTTTTCTTGTTGGCAAAATTGTGAAGGCCATTTAGTGCAGGTTAAAAGTTGTATCTTGATACTTTGTCTCATTGATGAGATAAACGCAGTTTTATTAATCATAATTAATAAAATTAAAATAAATATTAAATTATTTCTTTAATCTAATTTATTAATAAATTTTATTAAACATTAAATGATGATTATTAAAAATGAAGACATTAAACCCATGTAGCTACGAAATGAAGCAGAATCGGACCTATGTTGATATGAAAAATAAATTTTATTTCTACATGAGGAATCTCCCCACGAGAGATGGCACCTGTTTTTTGAAATACCCTGTATAATAAATGTAGACATAAAATAATTTTAGCTATTGCCAGCATATCGTTAGTTAGGGTTTTGACAATTTTTTGGTAATCAGAAGACCGAAAAAAAATAATTATGATGTATTTTTTTTAATTGAAAAGCAGCAATGTTTACTTCTATTATTTCTTTGTTAATTATTGAACTAAATTGTCTACAATCAATCCCTTTGATTGATTGAAGTACTCTGTATAATTTAAAGAAAAATTATATATTTACTACATATTTAATTTATATAAAATTGAATTATTTGATTTATCAAAAATATGAAAATTATTATTAACATTTTTTATTTAAAATAAAATTGATTTCCGGAGCATCAAACTAGGATTAGTTGTTACATGTTCAGTTACATGTGTGGCCGAATCTTATATATATATGTCTAAAAGAAATAATTACTTTACTTATTATAGTAATTTAATTGAATTTTTAATTAAGTCTAAAAAATATATGAATTAGAAATATATTCAGACGATTTAATCAATGTTTAATAGGTAAAAATTATTTTATATAAACCGTTAATAGGTACTAGTTGGTTTATTTAAAATATAAAATTAATATTTTTTTCGGAAAAATAATATACCAAAAAATTAAAATATAATTAGATATATTTTTTTAATGCTACAGTAAGTACTTCAATTAAATGGAATTTATTATTAAGCAAAACCAGTTAGTTAAAAAACAACAATTAAATTCTACGTGTTTAACTGATAAACCACAATAATTAAGTAGATTGTTTTGTTTTTCCTTGAATACATTAGTAGTTTTCATGTAATTTTTAAATAAATCAAGCCAATAAACACATAAATACGAGAGAGTTCAGTTATAAACCATTTATAAACGTACTTTACCTGAGGTACTTCAGGCGTCAAGTCCGTGGTACTCGAGAGGAATGCACAAGCGACAATGTTTCGCTAAACTTGCCAAATCAAAGTACGGCGAGATAGTCTTCAATGAAGCTTATAGTACTTTAAGTCCCGACGTTCAGCAAACAGCCCAATGTAATTGGCAATAAAAAAATTCTTAAATCTTAAATCACTATTAAATCGTTCTATATTATATTAACTAGTACTATATCAGTTTGGGTCGAGATTAAAACAATCACTAATCATTACAAAACTTTATCAAGTGGACGAATATTTCGGGTAGGTACTCATAAACGCGCTGTAGTTTGTTCTCGTGTCTGACAAAATATTTTCGTATAATTTTAATTACAGGGAAGGTGTTTCATTAACCTTTTGTAAATTATAGTAAAATAACCTTGGGTTTTAACCACGAATAGTACTACAAAAGCGAAAAAAAAACACGAAATTAGAATTATTAGCGTTTTGAGAAAATTAATATTAATTATATCCATCCAAACCCTAATGAGATCTAATTTAAACGTAGTCAAAAAAATATTTTTTTTTAATAAAATTTTACATATTCTTATCATCAAGCATACTGATTATTTGCACTTTATCTAATCCTAATTATGAATTTATAACATTGCTCTTCATATGTTTTATACTAACGAATTACTTTAATATTTGGCTCTTTTTTTAACGTATATTAGGGATTTCCCATGAAACGCTCTGATATAGTAGTAGCTATTTCAAGTAATAGAAAAATAACATGTTTTTCTTTTTATAGGACACAATATTTTCATTAACTTTATATACAGGGTGGTCCATTAGTGTGAGGAAGTCCAATAGTCCAATATCGTCGTCGTTGTCGAAAATATAAAAAAAGTTTTATACCGGGTGCGTCTCAAAAGTGGCTCACCCCTATAACTTTTTTATTATATCAGATAAAAAAATGAGATTTGGTACGTTAGTATATGACATAAATTGGGTTTGATTGACATATTCAATTGTTTTCGGTCACTTCCTATTTCACCGGAAATGACCACAACTTTTGATTTATAAATGGCACCCTGGGTATTTTTTTACTTTATTCGATTGAAAATGACATTCTGAATCGAATGACATATCATATGTCAACTTTTGACGTAGGTATTCGCTCAAAAACAAATTGTATTTTAAATTTCAATCTAGAGTGCCATGATTGTGTTAAAAACACTAAATTAATAATTAACAAATAATTTTTAATCAAGGAGCCTTGGAAAACTAGATCCGATCGTCTAATGTTTTTAGTCCCTTGTCCTGGCCGGTTAAAAGATGCCCAAATCGTATTTTTAATCATATCTCAATTTTTTCAAATGGAACGAGGGTGGCTCATTAGCATATTTTGAAAAAGCGTTTTTTTACGAATAATTTGGTACCACACATTTGGTATTTCGAGTCAAATTGTCGTTATGAACCGCATGTTACAATTTCAAATAAACCATTTGCAAAAATGTCAAAAGTTGACATATGATATGTCATTCTATTCAGAGTGTCATTTTCTATCGAATAAAGTATAAAAATACCGAGGGTGGCATTTAAAAATCAAAAGTTGGAGTCATTACCGGTGAAACCGGAAGTGATAAAAAACAATTGAATATGTCAATCAATCCCAATTTATGTCTTATTCTAACATACCAAATCTCGTTGTTTTATCTGTAAAAATAAAAAAGTTATAGGGGTGAGCCACTTTTGAGACGCACCCGGTATATGTTGCATGTTTTATAATGGTGCATATCCTAAAAATCTTTTGCTGTATACAGGGTGTCCCCAAAAAAATTATGATAATTTTTTTTTTTTTTTTAAATTGCACCCCCCATTTTTCGGCACATAATTAAATTCAACATAAAATTCTGCATATTATAGTACTCTATTTTTATTTGAAGCACTATGGAGGTGTTGCCATGCTATTTCTTATTAATTAAAACTTTGCTTAAAAATACTATATTCGAAAAGTGGTTAAAAACTGAGTGAATATAACTTTATTAATACTTATTAATAAATTAAAGTTATATTTATTTTCCTAAGCACCAAGGATAATAGAATAAATCGACGAATGAAAATTTAAATTATTATGAAATTTACATTATAGTTTTACATTATATTATTTACTACAGGGTGTTTTCTATAGCGTCGCCAAAATTGCAATATTTCAAATGCTGTATCCCAGTTTTTTTAAACGCAACACACTGTATATTATTTTTCGTTTAGATGTAGAATTAAAAAATGTACATTTTTTGTATTTAAAAAGTAACTAAATTTTTAGCGGCGATTCCTCGAACTAATAGGCTACCCTGTATGTATAATAAATTCAGGTTATAAAAAATAATTATGCATATTTATAGGAGAGAGATTCGCGTTCATAGTTAACAATTAAAACAATAAATTAGACAGGACTGTAATCAGTGTTAGAAAATATATACTTAAAATATATCAATTTTTAAAATATGTTTTAAGGGTAATCAAAGGATAAACAAACTATAAATTAGGGCTTTGTGTATAGAATAAATTAATCAAGCTTCAATACCATGTACACCACTAGTTAATTATTTACCTTTACCACCAACATGCATTTATAATTCAAGATGAAATTACACTGTCAGAGCTAAGGTACAGGACAGGGTTAATTGAATTTTATTTCAGATATATTATAAAATAATTTTTCCCTGCCTGTGATATTAAATTAATTATTAGGACATTAGTGTGTTTAGGTTTTGTAAGAAACTTAATTTTTCGAGCCCTTGTTTCCGCACAATTTTTTTATGTTAGCTAAATAGTAACAGTTTCATCAAAATCTGCTGCCTGACCAAAATCGACAAATTTGATGAAAAATGTCTGGAAAAAAGTCGAAAATTTGCCCATTTTTAGCTCTTTTTTTCAAGTTTTCAAGATCTTTGGAAAAATAGTAAACCTGCGCGTAATTTTATGGAAATGTCAGTATTTGTAGGAAATTTTATGTAGATTTAGAATATATAATGGTTTAGACGGTTAAGTATTTTGATTTCTTTAGAAAATGGATTTTCCCGAACCCTTGCTTTCATGTTAGCTAAAATGTTACGTACAGGTCATACTGAACTCATAAGGCTAAAATAGCCTACATTTTCGTTTTCCACGCCTTTTAATTAGTAAATGCAATATTTTTATCATTATCGGCGGCCTGACCAAAATCGACAAATTTCATGAGTATATGTATGTCTGAAAAAAGTCGAAAATTTGCCCATTTTTAGCTACTTTTTCAGAAATTTTCAAGGCCCTTAGAAAAGTAGTAAACCTTATCGTAATTTTATGAAAATTTCAGTATTAGTATGAAATTTTATGTAGATTTAGAATATATAACGGTTTAAAGATACTGGATTTTCCCGAGCACAATTTTTCATGTTAGCTAATATGTTACGTACAGGTCATGCTAAACTCGTAAGGCTAAAATGGCCTACATTTTCGTATTCTAGGCCTTTTAATTAGTAAATACAGTAGGTTCATCAAAATCGGCAGCCTGACCAAAATTGACAAATTTCATGAGTATAGTAAGTAAAAAAAAAGTCGAAAATTTGCCCATAATTTTTGGGTATTTTTTAAAAGTTTTCAAGGCCCTTAGAATAATAGTAAACCTAGTCGTAAAATTATGAAAATTTCAATATTTGTAGGAAATTTTATGCAGATTTATATACAATAGATTAATAATATTTGGAATAAATATTGAGGTTGATATGTTTTGGTATATATATAATTCTGTATTCAACTTTTTTGGATGATTAGCGAAACATGCGTATTTCTTCTCGTGATTTTTCATACTTGAAAATTATTTTTATACAAGCTTAGTCAGTTAATTTTCTCCAAATCAATTTTCAATTTGTTAAAAGACATATTACACTCTTTGAAATAGTGCTGAAAAAATCCCCATCTTTTATTCTAGAGAATAACTCTATTTCGCTAGAGTGGATAGGATTAAAAGTTAATGGGGCCGGTGCTGCAGTTCGGTCCTGCAATTAACTCTGCAGAGATCGTGGACTGTACAAGCTTAACCTCTTCTGCTAAATGGAATCCCTTGACAGGTAAAATCATTCGATTGGTCTAAATTATAAAAGCCGTGAAAAGCAGTCGCGCTGCTCTATTTCGACTATGTAAATAATTCATGAGACCACTATGCAAAATAAGCCGCTAGGTTGACGATTTTATATTATTTCGGGACAAAAGTATTCGCTGAAATTCGCGAATGAAATATTAGCATGCAAATATAAGCTTTATAATATACTAAATATATGATAAAATATCAATATATTCTATCAGTATGGCGTTTTTAAATTCAGTCAATTTGTTAGAGAAATTTAAAATTAAAATTTATTCTACACTGAGAAAAATATGTGAGCTGCTAATAAAATTAATTTTAAGGAAAAATGAGTCAAATAGAATATATAGAAGCATATTAAAATAACGACATGTTTAATTAGAATAAATTTTGTAGTAATAAGTTTAGTAACGAGTTTGTTAAGTTACCCCAACAGAAAAGTCCAGACCAAGTCTATTTCTGGTAGCGATAAAAATATGGAATTTTAAATAATCGTACATTTAATGTGACTTGAGTTTAGGTGTTTTAGTTTTGTAAGACACTGGATTTTTCGAACCATTGTTTTCAGAAAAAAGTCCACAAATTTCCCATTTTTTGGCCAAGTTTTTAAGGCTCTTAGAAACATATTAAACCTGACCGTATATTTATGAAAATTTCAGGATATGTAGCAAATTTTATGTAAATTTAGAATATGTAATAGTTTAGAGGCCTAACTGTTTTGATTTTGTAAGAAACTGGATTTTTCGAAGCCTTGTTTTGCACGATTTTTCATGATAGATGAAGTGTTGCGTACAGGTCATACTCAACTTGTGAGACCCAAATGGTCTATATTTTTGTGTACTACGCCATTTAATTAGTAAATAAGAGCAGTTCCATCAAAATCGGAAAAAGTCTGTATGGAAAAAAGTCCCATTTTTCGTTATTTTTTACAACTTTTCGAGGCTCTTAGAAACATAGTAAACCTGACCGTAAAATTATGCCAATTTCAGTGTTTATAGGAAATTTTATGTAAATTTAGAATATATAATCGTTTAAAGGCTTAAGTGTTTCCATTTTGTAAGAAACTGGAATTTTCGAACCCTGGTTTTCGCACGGTTTTTCATGATAGATAAAATGTTAACGTACAGGCACAGGTCATACTGAACTCGTAAACCAATTTTAGTTTAATTTTAAGATTTCTACTAAAAAG